TAAAAGTATCGTGTAAAACTATTTGTGGCCAGGGGAATATATCAAGTAGTAACCGATTACACTGCACAGAAAGACGAAACAGCAATGGTTTTTTTAAAAGAAATCTTTTTTTTAAACGATATATTTTAATTTATTTATTTCAACGGAAAAAAAGAAAGAAAAAATGTCTCGTTTCCAGCATAAATATATATAGTTGTGCAGTATTTTCGCAAAGTTGCAAACGTTTTTTCAAACTCGTAGTAAAACATTAGAGTTTATTACCATACGTATATTTGGAACGCTGGCCCGCCATTGATCAAATTGAATATTTCTCAATCGTAATTTTGACGCATCTGCAGAAAAACTAAATTCGATGTCGCGCTCATCTCTATAGGTCAATCTATGGACGAATAAGGATTGATCGAGAGAAGAAAGTTGGCCTGTTTTTTGAAACTGTATGTTTATCATAATTTGAGTATTTGGTAGTGATCTATAGAAGAAAAACAGTTTTGATGATTCATTGATTGTAATATGCTTAGCTATAATTATTATCGTGTACTTTTGAGTCGCCATTCAATTGACAAAACGTTTAAATTATGTGGTATTACTCGTAGTACTTGTCAAATTGACCTTCGTTCTCATCGATTTATGGCAACGACCAGTGGAAAAAATACGACAAATTATGATTATGATTATTTCGTAGTTGGTGGTGGATCAGGTGGTGTTCGATCCAGTCGAATAGCTGCTCAATTAGGTGCTCGTGTTGCTCTAGCTGAAAATAAACAATTGGGTAAAGCAACTTTATTGAAAATAAAATCGATATTTTCTACGTCTATTTTAATTTTCTAGGTGGCACTTGTGTTAATGTTGGTTGTGTACCAAAAAAATTATTTTGTTATGCATCACAATTTCGAGAATTGTTCCATGATGCACATGGCTATGGTTGGCCAAAAATTGATATGAACTATAATGATCATAATTGGAAGAAATTTTTAGAAAGTAAAAATGCAGAAATTCAACGACTTAATAATGCATATGAAAAAAATCAAAAAGATAATAATGTTGAAATAATAAAAGGACGTGCAACATTAAAAGATTCACATACTGTTATTGTTAACGATAAAGAATATTCAACGAAACATATACTTGTCGCTGTTGGAGGTTGGATTGTCTGTTTTGAAGAATGTACAAAACTGAATCTGTTGATTTTTAGGTTGTCCGATCATACCGAATATAGAAGGACGTGAACATATAATTACGTCGGATGATGCTTTTTTTCTTGAAAAACTACCTAAGAATGTTATTATTGTTGGTATGATATGTTTTATTTCTATTACAAATGTATTGCTTTGATTTTTAGGTGGTGGTTATATTGCAACAGAGTTTGCTTGTATTTTTAATGGGTTTGGTTGTGAAGTAACATTAATTTTACGTGGAAAGACAATTTTATCATCGTTTGATGAAGGTTTGAAATTAGATGATGTGAAAATTAGTATAATCTGAGATAGTCAATATTTTTACTAGATAAAATAAATGAAACTTCACTTGTGTATTTCCACTAAAGAGACATAGTTTCTATAAAAATCATCATCGTTATTTTAATGCTGAAAATTTTTAAAATGTCACATTTTTGCTCTATTTAGATATTCGAGCAAAATTAACTGATGAACTTAAAAAGAATGGCATCAATATTCTATATCAAACTGAAGTGGAACGTATAGAAAAATCATCTGATGATTCTTTTCGTGTTAAATTTAAACAAGATAAAACGCCCATGGATACAAATCTTGTTATGTTTGCTATTGGTCGTCATCCAAATACATATAATATTGGTTTAGAGAAAGCTGGTATTAAAACAGATGATAATGGTGTGATTAAAGTCGATGATTATTCGCAAACAACTATGCCAAATATCTATGCAGTAGGTTTTCAGATTTCGAAGCATATCAGTTTCACAGAATACTCGTTTTCTAGGTTGGTGATTGTACAGATCGTAAAGCTCTAACACCTGTAGCTATACAAGAAGGTCATTATTTAGCAAATATGCTATTTGGTAATGAACAACCACGAAAAGTTGATTATGCTACAGTAGGCACAACTGTATTTAGTGAACCGGCTATTGGTACATGCGGCTTAACGGAACAACAAGCGAGAGAAACATACGGAGTCGATGGATACGATGTATATGAATCGACATTTAAACCAATGTTTGTACAATTATCAAAACGTGATCGAAAATCGTATGTGAAATTAATTGTTGATCGAAATGGTCAACAACGTGTTGTTGGCATTCATTTGATGGATCATGCAGCACCAGAAATTATTCAAATGTGTTCAGTTGCTATACGTGCTGGTGCAACGAAAGACTTGTTTGATCATACTATTGGTATACATCCGACGAGCGCTGAAGAAATCGTACAAATCAGAAAAAAACGTGAAAAGAAAAACTGATCTGTAAAGGTTTTGCTTTTGATAATTATTTAAGCTCCATTTCACTGCTGTTATTCTTTGTGATAAAAATGAATATTTTTGATTTAAAGAACTATAATAGGTATTGTTAGCACAAAAAAAAATTAATCTCGATCAATAGTCTTCCGTTCAGCCATCTGTTTTGTTTACATTTTAAATAAATATCAAGATAGTATACTATAGATATTGACTAAAGAGCTACTATTGTCTCATCAATATTATCCGGTTGGCGCATAAGTTCTGCACGTTTTTCTTTTGGTTCAACAATAAATTTATTTTTCACCAAAGATATACAAATATCAATCAGCAATATAATCGCCATTGTTTTCAACAACATTCGCCCATCTTTCTGGCAATAGTTCAATTCCACGTCTGTAGAAACTAGCCGGTTTTGATTCGAAAAAGGCAGTCAGGTCGGATTTTAACTCATCGAAGTCTTCATAGTGTTTATTGCACAAATAGCTACGAAGAGATAGAAACAGATGATAATCGGTTGGTGAGAGGTCTGGTGGCCACGGCGGGCGAGGAAGAACTTCCCATCCTAATTACGTAGTAAGCAGAAAATATCAAGGTCAATATCGATGTTTGTTTGACCGTGAGAGAACAGAAATAAATGTATAGTAGTGAGATGAAAGAAAACAAAAAACAAAAACGTGCAGAACTTATGCACCAACCGCGAATAGTTACAGTTATTTCAAATTCGATAATTGTAAATTGATATTCAACTAGATCCTTATCATATACCAATGCTATTGATGTATTCGTTTGATATAAAAATTATATACATCAGTATGATTCTAGTAAAAGACACGTCAAGTAAATATTATAAAGAAAGTAATAGCCAAAGCGATTAGTAACCTGAGAGTTCAATACACGAAATGCTAGCGAACTTTTTTTAAAATTTATTAAAATGATTTTTGCTAAAGAATTGCGTCTCGTTGAAAAATCATTTAGCATCTTTAAATTATTTCTTTATATTGGACTTCGTTTTACATCAAAATGCATACGAAATTCCTGAAAACTTCGACAATATAAATGAAGTCTGGATGCCGAAGTATTATAATCCTCTGAAAATTTGTTTCATCGGAATAGATCTAGTGTTATGCACAGTATAACCCAAGATGTTCAGAATTGATGATTATTTGGCAGATCGATGAAAACGGTCTATTGATCTGCTAGACATTCTAAAATTCCTTTGAAAACATGTAAATCCTACATCAAATATCACAACGATCCAATGAACATTTTCCCTTCAACTCGTAAGTTTAATATTATTTTTATAATAAGAAATATCAAACGGTGACTTCTGATTTTTAATTCTATCCAAATAATTGTTATTCCTCACTCATAATCAGACGAGAATAAATAGTCTGGGTACAGAGCACGTATTTTTCCTCTTTTTTTTTTTGATTTATTCTTTTTTCTTTGCCTTTCCGTCCTAAAACTATTCGACAATTATATTCAAATCGTGACAAGCGACAACGATGTCTACGATAACTCTCAATAGCTAACTATTCGCGTGTCACCTAATGCATACACATTGAAAGATGGAGAACAAGGCGATGCTAAGTGACGGCGAACTTTGCGTGTCTAAATATATATATTCGATGCTTGTATGAATATAAAACAATCCGCCATCCATTAAGTTTTTTTTCGTGTATGAATATATTTTCTCGCATATTTTCATTCAAACGGTAAAAACCTATATTATCGTGATTCTATGGAATCTATAATATTTAAATACAGATCAAGTATTTCTCAATTATATCTAACCCGTCGATGTCGACATCATTCAAAGATTACGTTCCATAGGCAATAAAGCAAAACAAAAAAAAAGAAAAGAAGTTTCTTATTCGAAAATGCCTTCGAAAATTGAACGTGACTTGTTTGTTAAAAAATTGTCGATATCATTAGCCTTTCTTTTTCTCTCATCTGTGATGCAACGTGCTCGAGCTACAAAATCTTCAAATGTTGATTCCAAACACGTATATCTATATATATTTATTTGCTCTTCTTTACTCTGCACTCTATGTTGCTCAGTCAATTTCTTCTTCTTCTCCTTCTTTTTTCTCTTCGTCATCTTCTCTTGTGTATATGTGAATAAGGATCACGCACATGCGAATGAGCAAGAGCGTCGAAATCAAATTCTGTTTGAGCACGCCATCACCATCACAGCACGTATACGGATATGTCCGCGTGTGTGCATTCGCATGATTACAGCGGTGCGTGCAAGCATGCATTCACACACGCACACATAGAGCGAAAAGAGAGAGACAGAGGGAGAGGGAGAGGGAGAAGGAGGGAAAGGGAGAAACGATGAAACATAGAGAAGCAAGTTCTTTCTATTCACTCATCATCATACTCAAGAGAAAAAGACTACGTTTGTTCTTTGAGTAAATCGAAGATGTACCGATTAAATCGACAACATTGCTATCTATGCGATCTGCCTCGTACACCTTGGGCAATGATTTATGATTTTTCGGAAACAGTTTGTCGCGGTTGCGTTAATTATGAAGGTAAATCTATTATGTTCTTTAGAATTAAAATTCAACAGGAAATATTTGTAGGTGCCGACCGCATTGAAGCAATCCTAGAAAATGCTCGTATGCTTCGTCGTACATCATTGATTGATCGATCGAATGATTTTACATCGTCGAAAACTCTTCTACCCCTTCCGGCAACATTTCTTTCAACGAATAGTATTTCGTATCCTTATAAATCTCTATCAAACGGGCATAATCGTACTTCAACATCGTGTAACAAGCGATCTTCACATTTATCTTCATCATCTCCATCGAATGATGCAACATCATCACAAGAGCCTGATGATCTTTCATTACCAGAATTAGTTAAAGATAGTTTACGTTTATTAACATCGTCAACTCCATTTGACATACGACTTAAACATGATTCAACAATTCAAGCCAGAGCATTTCTTTTTGATTCTCATCAACGGCATTCGTCAACAGGTGGTTCAAATGAATATGAATTACGCATATTTAGTGAATATCCAATTGGTTCAAATAATGTTCATGCAAATATCAATTCTCTATATCGACAAATGAATAGTGATGTTAAACAATCGCCAACAAATGACGATAGTCAATCATTGAAAAATCCTTATAAAGCACTTCAATATCGAATAAAATCAACAACAACAACAATATCCGATGAAACAAATAATAATTGGCATCTATTAAATGATCTACTACATGAACGTGTACGTTCATTCAAAGAATTACCAAATAAAAGTCTCCTACCAGAAGCTTACCTTGATCCCAAACAAACGAAATTACCATCGATACGTCAATCAATATCGAAACGCAAAAATAATGATACTGATATGAATCCTATGAATAAATATCGTTTATCAAAACGTTTACGTACGCATCAACAATTAAACGAGACCATGTCAACATCAATACCATTATTAATTCTTCAATGTAGTGACTGTCATCAAGCCCTCGAAGATACACATTTTGTACAATGTCCATCCATGTCGGAACATCGCTATTGTTTTTTATGTTGTAAAAGTTTTATTAAAAAACGAACAGGTGAAAAAGAAATTTATTGTCCAAGCGGTTTAAAATGTCCACTAGTTGGTTCAACAAATGTGCCATGGGCGTTTATGCGAACTGAAATTGACACAATCCTTAGTACAAGATCACCATCACCTGCAAAAACAACAAATTCACCATCAACTTTAACAATTAAACAAGAAACTGAAATTTAGAAAATAGAGCGAGACAGAGAACACTTCGTATTTTTATTTAATACTTTTTCTTTTGTGCTTTTTTTTGATTGTTGTATATATTATAATAAAATGTCCTTTTCTATTTATAATCCCTGTTCTTTTAATTCACGATACATTTGAACGAGAGCACAAAATGAACAACACGAAACCGCTACACAATCGCCACATATGGAACCCTATTGGAGTAAAAAAAAATGAAAAAACTCTGTTTTTGTTTTAGCAAAATAGATCATACTCGTATTCGAAATAACGTTCGAATTTTAGTACGTAATGGCCATAGAGTTGTTGGGCAACAACATGTTAATAAATCTTCATCAGCACGTTTATAGATTTTATACGTTGCACAAGGACAACAACAGCAGACGAAACAGCCTATGATCGAATTGAACAAGTCAAACATTGTCTAGAACATTTTTATCGACTGTTCTTTTTTCATACGTACAAGCTTTTGGACTACCACAACAATCATGCATATTATATGTCCACCAGTTTTCGTATTCCCAAACATCATCACCTGGTTTTGTTTGTACTACAATGCTAGAAGAGAAATAGTTTTAATTTTAATTTTCATAATTTATTCTAAAATGCGTACGGGTATGGCGCAGGAAGCATTCTTTTTCGTTAATATAGTCGTTTAAAAACTGTCGAACAGTACAACAATGCGATGGCTGCTATGGTACAAGAGAAACATGATCAATTCCATTAGTTACTTATTGGCACACACTTCAACGAACAAAATTTAAGAATACAACGAGATCTTTTCAAAAGAAAGATCTTCAAAATAAAAGTGCAAGCGAATTTTTTTTTATGTTTATTTAAAATCTGAAAATGTATACAACAAAAACAATTTCTTGCATAAAATAATTTCTATGGTTAGATTATTTTTTGTGAATATAAACATCAGATCTAGTCGTCAACGACGTTTGATAATTGAAATTGTTTTATCCTAAAATCGAACAAAAAGTGACTCGTATAGTAACAACAGTTGACCGTCGAACGCCAGCAAACGCCTTTTTTTCCATCTATATTAGAGAAATAAACCGACTTATTTATATTTCTACCTCAAAAAGAGGTTTTCTTTTCGATCTGTACTTGAACTCGATGTTTTATTTTTTTTTGCTACTAATCATCAACACCATATTTTTCTTTTCTTTTTGGTATATTGTTGTTCGAGTTATTTGTTTTAATAAACGAAAACAAGAGCTGTTATTTGCATCTATTACATCGCCCGCGGGTTGCACATTACTATTGTATATCTGATTGAAATCAATATTGTTGATGTTCGAAAGTTTTAACTTGATGAACTCATATTTTTAGGACCAATTGTAGGAGATTTACGATAGATCAAAATATTCCTGATCAATACTTGTGATATCTTAAATATAATCAGAGATTTCTAGAGAAATTAGAAACTACGCTCTTGAGAATGCATCAAAAAAGACTTTCGCATATTTTTGTATTCATCTTCACCTTGTTGTTAATACCATACGATGACTTTTTTTTAATATAGAACTAAAGCAAAAATGAGTTTGATGCTTGTTGTCGTTGTCTGCTATTAGCATGCATCCACTCCATCTGCCAAAGCCTATTATGAGAGTATTTATCAGCAATGTTATATCTCTCAATAGCGTTAACGTAATCGATATTAATCCCTAATGTAAAGCATTGCCGAGATAAACCTTAGAAATCTCACCTCCTAACTTACACGTAGTATTTTTCTTCATGAAATATATGTTCATTCGATACAAGAAATCAAAATCAAACACGAAATGACTGCAATTATCATAGTCCATTCAAATTCTATGTACACTATTCATCTTTGCCAATGTCATTAAAATAATCATATGCATATGAATCAAAAAAAAAAGATTGAAAAGAAATTTCGATGAGATATTTTTTGATTTTCTTTTATTTCATAATCGATCCAAAAATAAAATTCACATAAGTACATGTGCACACAGATTTGAGCATTATCTTTGCTTCTTAGGAAAAAATACAAATTTCAAAAACAAATAAAATTAACAAATAAATACCGACCCAACTATCTAATGAGGATTTTTATTGGGAATACCTTGATAGTCGAGTTCTTTTTCTATTTGCATAGCAGCACATGAAGTTGTACAACACATTGTTTTGTAGCAATCTTCTAATAAACTACCCTACAAATCAGAATAAGTAAAAAGTGAATTTTAAAAATTTCTTTTTTTTCCAATTACTCGAATATGAAATGCAGTTCGAACTTTAGTACGTAATACCATCAATGAACATGGATTAATACAGTTCGTAAGAAAATGTTCACCAGAACGATCGAGTAATTTAGCTATATAACATGGCGTACAAAAATATGCAAACGCAGCTAAATGAAATTTATCATCAATGAAAATTTATTTTCTCCACAATTCAATAAACAACATACATTGCGGACATGGTTTACATGAACCGAAAAGTGTTTGATGCCAATCATTGTTAAACGTTAAGAGCTTATTTGAAGCGCCCGGTTGAATAATAATTGGTTGATTGCTATGAGAAATTTTTAGAGAAATACATTTAAAATAAAATAAAATTGAAATGAAATCTATACTTTGGCATTTGTATTTGTTTTTAAATAAATGATACAACTGTAATGCAAGTCTCTGAATCGACTTTGTTTGTTTGTTGAACGTATATGAATTCTTTTAAATTGATCAGTGAAGATAAAGTAGCATTGTTGTCAAGGTAATAAAAAAATGTATGTCTGGTTACTTCAATCGCATGAGTAAAGATGAAAGAAAAAAGTAAGTAAAAACATATTCAGAAAGGCAAATAATGAACTTGCTTCTTTTAGAAACAAAACTCTGTACATAAGCATTTCACTACCAACAACAACAATCCTTTTCATTTTACTCATGTCTCACTTAATATTAACAAAAAAAAGACGAAAGCCACTTTTCGTTGCTACTGGGGACAGAATGGAATCAAATGATTACAATGACAGCCAATAAAATCATAGTTCGGATTGTTGACTTCAAAAGAAAACAAAATGTATTATATGGATAAACGCGTTGCTGCTTTTTTTTTATTCATATGCGTACATAATTATGCAGACATCTGTAAAAAAAAAGAAAGATGAATTTTTGAAATGTCAAATAAATGTTTAGTTTTTTAGTAATCGCCATTATTTTGGTTAGGACGCTGATCATTTCGAGGATAAGTTTTTCTTGACGTTTGATCCTCCCATAATCCTTGGGAGTTGAGTTCATTTGCCAGTTGATTTCCTGCACATCCCATGCAACAGTTTGTTGCGCAAAAGTCTCCGCAGCAACCACCCTAAAAAAAAGTAAAGAAATTTCATTATATCAGAAGGGCTTCTCAAATCTGCATACTTCAATACGTCTTGCAGTTCGTAACTTCGTTCGAAAATAGGATAATGCACATGGACAACAACCAATAATTGCTGATTCTCCTAAGCGTTTTGAAAGTTTGCATCCCATGCAACAACCACAGCAACAGAACAAACAGCCTGCATTAACATCAAATACAATAAGACTATGATAAACTATTTAATCATTCAAATTTTCTCATCTTACATTGACCCCATGGTTTGCAGTCGAATAAGTCGGAACGCCAGTGATTTTCGAAGTCCCATACACGTTCGGCATCATATTGTTGTTTGACAACAGCCGGTTGAACGGTTTGATTACTATGTCAAAAGAGAATAATCGAAAAGTCAACAATGAAAAGTTGATAGTGTCTTACAATCCACGGTTCATTTGTGTTTTTACTCAGTTTTATTTGGTTATGCCGAGCTAACACCAAAAAGAAACAGAATCTGATCGAGAAGACTTCTTTTTAATTGTTTCTTGCTTGTTACTTCAATCGAATCGCCCGATAATAATAATAATATTGTTCAATTTTTCTATCGGTGACTTTTTTTCCTCTTTCTCTTCCTACTCATTCGCCTTTTTTTCTATACTTTTTACGTTCGCTTATCGTGAAAAAATTGTATCCATGTGAATTTAACTACGAGTATGTGTATTTATCGGCGCAAACGGTCGATGCATGATTTTTAAAACTTAGGCTGAAATAATTATAAACAAAAGAAAATTCAAAATGCGACTCTTTTATATTGCATGCTCATAGAGTACGACAACAATATAGAATAAAGTATTTATTAGTTCATTGTTTTTCTCTGTAATTAAAATTTGTTCCAGTAATAAATGAGAACTTAAGATTTCATGTTAACGTTTTCGCTTAAAAGTACAGTAAACTCATTAAATTTATAATGACTTTTTTGTTTTGATCAGACGAGAATTTTGGACGACAGAATCTGACATCGAGAAAAAAATCGAAAGCAAAATTTTTAGAAGATTTCCTTTTGTATCAAACAAAAAACATAAAATTTGATCATTGACATAAGGAATCATATTATTGTTAGAAGATGTAAAATGATATCAGGCAATCTCATTTCTATCGTCACTAATATTAACAAAGCAAAGAAAAATTGTATTCTTTTTTTTTTCTTTTATGTTGGATTGTTAGTTAATTTCTGTTCGTAATCATGAAAGCCCATAAGATTATTCCTAATATTCTGAGTTGATGTTTGTTGTGCAAGAAAAGTGCATTTATTAAATGACTTAAACAAATATTTCAACTGTGCGTACAGAGGACAAGAAAAGAAAGGCAACAAGCCGAACGGCAACATTTCATCACATAGAAAAGAAAAAGTTGACTTACGTCTTTATGTGACTATTCCTATTGGCGAGTTTATAAAGTGGACAACATTTGCGGAAATACTTTTCGTAGTCAAGAATCAACCTGAAGAAGCAAAATAAATAGTTAGACCTGCTTGCCATTAAAAATCAACGTTAGTTTTGTGTTTACATCTCAAGTAAAAATAGAACCTGTGGAAAAGTCTTCTTTCATGCAATAATGTTTAATTTAATTAATAAATAATCGTAAACAAATAAAACAATCAATAGAATGAACTAAAAATTGATTAGACATGTATTCATCATTTTACTTAGAATAATTAAGAAGGTCAACATATGTAACTATATACCTTAGATTAACATATTTTTACTATGTTTTCTGTCATTGTTTATCGAGTACACATATAGAAAATATTAAATTATGGATGCACATAAGTATTGAATGAAAATTAATTTAAATTAAAAAAACTTTTTCCATAGTCTATTGAACGACCTTGTTCAATAGCGCCCTATTTTCGTGGCAATCAAATGTCGATGATACAAATAAATGTATGCAAGCAATCAATACTTATGTTATTTTTCTACCGATACATCATAGTTTGTTATACTATTATTTTTGTTTCTATACGAAATAAGATAAAGATAGGAGGAGTATTGATGTACATGCTTATCCAAAGCACTGGTGCTTGATGAGAGATTTGTAGATCTATTCATGTGGAAAACTTGTCAATAAATCTACAGTAGGAACACATATATATGGTTGAAAATAAATGGTAAAGAATTTAAATAGTCTCGGAAAATCATTATTGTTTTTGAAAAATAGATGAAATATATCCAGATGTGTATAATTAAACATTGCTAATCATGAATATTTTAGAAGTCTGATACTTGTTTACTGGGCTACCAGATTTTATGATTGATTCGACGATAAAAACTTCCAAGCTGCTAATCGATTTCTATGAGAAAAATCTCGTTTTCGATGAGCCTGTTTAGATTTTATAGAATTCTTTTAAACCGTGCTAAACGCTAGAATAATATTATTTCGCGAAACATGAGAAAAATATCGAGTTTTTTTTACCACAACCAGACATTAGAAAGTCTGTTATATAGCACAAAAACAAACCTTGTCCTTATGGCTATCTCCCATGATTAGAAAATGTGCTAAATCAGCTGTTATCATGAGGCACAGAGAAAGAGAAAAATTGTCCTAATTAGATCTAGAGATTAGAGTGAAATATTGTGCAGTATCAAGCGAATATATTATATAAATTATGTATCCATCAGAGCATAATTAAAGAGACAAGTCACTTGAAAGAGTACTAACGCTCGATTAAATAAATTAAAACAACAAATATTTATAGATTTATCAACAGCAAAGAAGCTATCGAAACTAAAATTGTTTGTCCTATACATTTGTATTCACGATAGAAAATACAAACAAATTCTACTTTCTGACCTTTCCATCTTCGTTGTATCTGAACAGGATTATGGTAAAACATTGAAAATCATCATTTAGTATATTTTCCTTGTCAATAAAATCAGTCCGACTAATGTCAGTGCTGTAATGTGTCTTTCTAATTAATTTTTCATGTGTTGTTTTTGTCCAACATGTTTCGCCGAAGCATATCGTCTCGTCATTTTGTTTTGTATATTGTTTGATATTTCTGTACTTTACAAAGGTTATTCTATCTCTGCCATTTACATGTGTACTATCGATAATTTTTTTTTGTCCTGGAAACAACCAAAAATGTGCATAGATTTTCTACAAGAGTTATTTTTCTTTGGGTACCTGTGGAAAAAAACGTGATGTGTTACACTGATATCAATAATTTCCTTTGTAGAATATTTTCAGTAATATAAACAGTAAAGAAGTATTTGGTTTTTTGTTCGAAATACTTATTAAATTTGAATGCTTTTATAAAAAAAAGACCTGGAAAACAAACAAACGACACATAATAAAAACAGCAAGAAAAAAAGAAGGGCCATTTCTCTCTATGTACAAATCTAGAGAAACAAAATTCAAGGTGGATTCACACATAAATACCATCATCACGATAACGATCTTCATCACGCTCATAGTTAATAAATGTTGTATCATCATCACGGTGATAATCAATAGATACTCGATCGAAACTTGGTCGATCATGATAATCATCGTTTGTATTAAAATTTTCGTTATCATCATGCGTATCTTTTAAATCTTGCTGATCATTATCATCATTTGTATCGATATAACGATCTTGATAATCAATTTCATCGACAGCGCTCATTTCACGCCATTGGTGATCATTATTTGAACTCACTGTACTTAATTGATCGGCTGTTGTTGTTGTTGTTAACATATTATTTTCGACAATAACGCTATTTTCTCGACTACGATTTGCATCGAGTAGATGCTGTCGATTAATATCAATTAGATGGTCATCTCTTGAATTCGGAGAGTATTCACGACGTTTTTCACGATAATGTTCACGTTCGCGTAGGTCACGTTCCGGTGAATAGTTATTTCTCTGATTCATTTTCATCATTTGCCTATCGATTAAATAGAATGGCTCTTGAGATTTATAAAAGTCAAAGCCGTTTAGTTTCGTTGCAGCTTGAAAACTTGACCGGCGTTGAATTGTCAACGGTTGTGGCATAGTTTCATCGGTATGATGTTGTAGTTGAGGACCGAATGCAGCAAACAATGGACGGGTACGAGTTAAAGGCAAGGTTTTAATTGTTGCCGTTGCAGACGAGCCAGCGGGATTGGTTGAACCAAGTAATTGATCAAGATCAGTTTCTTTTAATGTGTTTCTTCTCGAAGCATTGATTTCATCGTCGGTTGAATAGATACTTCGTACTGGAGGCACGTTACGATGTGATGTTGATGCATCATTAGATATTAAATAATCTTTCGAGCGATAAGGACGGACAGGATATGCTGTTCCATTGCCATTGTGTTTTGCATGTACTTTATTATGAGAAAAACAAAAATAAAATATTGATTAATTTAATAGAGAAGATCAAAAGAGTTGGCCTTGTGTAAGTGTAGTTAATTATAGAAACCTCGATCATACCATCTTTTATCCATCAAGTAGGTCTTTATCAAAAATATTGTCTTTAATATCTGTCAGCACCCGACAAGAATAAATGAGTTATATATATATATATATATACATTTACTATAGTAGCTAAAACTAACAATTGAGATAAAACTTATTAACGAATACGATATATCACTAATTTCATTTTCTATAAATTCAAAGACAGAGTGATCTAAGTAAATATTCTTAAGAACATTAGTTTCTATATACTTTTTTTTATTGCTTCGATCATACGTAAAATTCTTTTTGTTGCATAATAAAAGGATTCTATGTAAATTTGTTTACCTAAAGACTGTTTTCCATTTGAATTTGAATAAGTATGTGGATTATGATTTTGATATGTAAGACCTAAATAATAATAATTATTATGAAATTATTTCGAAATCGTGTTACAATATTCTTACTGTCAAAATTGCCTTTTATTTTTCTCTTATATTTCATTCGACGAATATGATGACAACAACAGCAAATCATCAATAACGATACGAGACATGCACCTACGATGCAGAGAGCTATATATGGTAAATTATTTCGAGTTTTTTCTGCAAGAGTTTCAACTAAATAGAATTAAAGAGATTTATTCGTTTCAACAACAACAAAAAACAGAAGGTTTTATACCTCTGGGCTTGCCAACTGCAATAACATAACCTCGGTCGAAATTATCACCAAATTTGTTTTTTGTAAATACACGAAAATCATGATGTCGTTCAGGTTTAAGATCAGGAAGAATAAATGCACAATTGCCTAAGAAGAGATCAAAATAAAATAATTTCAATGAAGGTAAACATTGAGTTTCCATTATTATTTAGTACCTTTTAGTCGTGCGTGCTCAGAAAAACTACCATTGTCTTGTCGTTTATACATGTAACAAAAAAAATCTTCATCGCCTTGATGAAATCCAGCAACACAATTAACTGTTAATGTCGTATTGACATAGGTATGCTGACAGGATTCAATTGGATCAGGTATACCTGCATATCACAAAAAGTTTGATTTATTATCTATATAAAAAAAATAATTTATAGTTACCGCCCATGACCATATTAATATGACATTCGCCAGATAGGCCTAATTCGTTTTCAGCTCGGCAAATAACTTGTCCGAAATCGTCACTATGATTGGGTAGAACGGTAAGATAATTTGAAGTTGAATTTATATAATATCCTATGTGTGTATTTCCATCGGGTAAAATCCAAGTAAAATTTAAATTCGATGGATTTGCATCATTCATAAAACAAGTTAAATTTATTGAACGATGAATACCAGTAAAGAACTGTGGTGGATATTGAATTCTATGAGAACATGTTGGACCATCTATAGAATCAAACAAAATGGATATAATATTTTTTTTTCTTCTTTTCCTTTCTTTGTTGTCTTGCTACTACTCTCTCTCTCTCTCTCTTTATAGTCTAATGATAGATTGATTTGTTGACATATTAGCACGCGCTCGAGTGACATCCGCCAGACGTCCATGCGTATACGGCAAAACTAAGTTATACATATATCTTTAGCTAAAACTTAACCTATTCGATGTGGGACTGATGACAAGAAAACATAACATCCATTATTCATTCATTCTCGAACAAATATCCGGTTTGCCTATGCACTTTCTTCGTATTGAAGAAAACATTCGATTTCCATATTGAGTAAATACGGCCACCGCCATTGTTTCAGCTACTTAACCTTACAAATATATATTAAACGCTGGCTGTTCCCATCATTTTCATTTTTTTGCTGTATTTAAATGTCAGCAATCAAGCAGAGAAACAATTGTATCGACATGATTATTTCTTGTTTGCCCTTTTATAACCTCATAGTCTCAAGTATTTTTTCGAATTAAACATAAATGAGCCTTAACATGTAGATGCAATAAATAGCCTACTTACAGATATCTTGTTATTATTATGATTATTATTATTATTACTACTATTATGGTACTTTTTTTTATACACAAGAAATATCATAGAATAATGATTGTAATAGTTGGAAAGTATGAGTATTAATGATCAAAACTATAGCAAATAAGAGAAATGTATGAAAGGAGAAGAACGAGAGAACATCGTTCGCTTCTTTTCTTTCTCAATAGCTCCTGTGTGTGTGTGTGTGTGCGCGCGCGTCGGTACCGAGAAAGACAGTATGAGTTAAGCATGACACATAATCTCCTTTTTTTTCTAGTAATAGATAGTTCAAAGATGTGATATAAATATGCATTCTGACACACATACGTATGGGCTAATAACAGAACTTTAGATGATATCAAAGAATATGAGAAGAGAAAGAAGAAAGATCATTTAGACTGTTGTTGATTAATGGCATGTCAGCTTTAATTGGTCGCAAAATTGGACGACGTTAACACATATATATAGATATCAATAGAAAAAACTCTTCACTCGACATCTGTTGAGTAGAACAATTTCAACTTTACTTGGCAGTGAGATAAAAAAAAAACATTTTACTCATTTACTCGATTTATTAATAATAAATGATACATGCCGATTAGCATAGATAAAGAAAAGAAAATATGAACCATGAATGCACCTTATTCAATGCTCTTTCTTTCGACATATTCATCATTCTTGTCTCTGTCGGGTATAGAATATGAAAGAATGGAGAAATTCTAGCCCTACGGTTGCATTTTCTTTTTCTTCAACTCGCACATACTTATATTCCATATGTAGTACCATTTACTCATCCCACAGACTAGCCCGAACGAAAGACGAATGTATATAAACTATATGAACGTATACGAAGCAATCAAGCGAGAAATGAGCGGCATCGTATATGATAGAGTGCGAGAAACAAAAAAGAAGAAGAAGAAGAGATCGATGAGACATTGACTAAAATCGAATGAAGCACGGTGTCGGTCAATTCTCTACGAAGAATAGTCTGACAAGGAAAATAGAATTAAAAATCAGGGCGGAGCTATATACCGTAAATTGAAGATGACGACAGTCATCATATGGGCAAGATGAAAAGTGCAATCTTCTTTCTTCCTCTCTACATTCAAGATTTACTATGCAGGCTTAAAAGATAAGGTCTTATCATCATCATCATCATCATCATCATCATCATCGCTCTTCTTTTCACCACTGTATAGTGGATTGCTCTAAGGGACATCTCATATACAAGTCAAGTGTTTGTCTGCTTTTAGTCATTCCATATGTTTACTTTCTATAAAACACTAAGATTACATAAATAAGTTTCTATTTTCTTTGGCATGATATGATCTTCTTGTTTCATTTGAGAAAAAAAGAAACTCTCTCGGTTTATTTTCTTCCTCATCTTTCTTTCAATTTTAACTTTTTCTTTTATTCATTGGCGAGAGAGAGCGAGAGCGAGAAAAAAAACTAAGAGGTTGAATAAAATTTTATTTATCAAAGTTAATTAAGTATTTATGATCCTAATGCAAATGAAAAATAATAAAAAATTCTTATTTTTTACTTACACAGGACATCGAGCCAGAGTTTATTGGAATATATTCGATGATGATGCTGCTGTTGATTTTCATGATTAATTAATTCTGTTTGAGTAGCTTCACACTGAAATATACGTTTATGAAAAGAACGATTAATACGTAGAACTAGAACAAGAATGGTTCGATAAGTTTTATCGTCGTTTAATATTGTTGAATTTTTTTCTATACGATATTCAATATCATACGGAAAATGAAGATACGCAGTTGGTAGAGAACGTGTTACAACACATGTAATACGTATTAGTTGATTTTCACGCAAACGTATATGGTCATTATTTGACGATAATGAATTAAAAAGCGTATGGTTTGGCAATGATGATGATGATTGATGTAAAAGATTCTTATCGGTTTGATTTGATGTATGACTTATGGGTGAATCGTATGATGATAGAAGTTGAACACCAAGTTCAACTGTAGCAAGACGAACTAGAATATAAATTTCAAATTGAATGATCTTATATTACATGTCATCTCTTATTTCTTTTTAACAACAGATTTTTTTCCGCTCTCTATCTCCCTTTTTATCGACTTTTCCGTTTCGCTCATATTCTTATTCTAGCAACGTGTGAGGTCGAGAGGTTTCCCGTGGACAATGCCTCTTATACATTTTTCTTTTAGAGGGTGTAAATGAATGAATAATGAAGAGGTAAGAAAAGCAACAGAGAGCATATAGAGAACGATAAGATTTAATTTTTTCTAACTATCCAGACGGCAGTCGTATGTGTCGGCGCGCACACGCTTACGTATGTGTGCACTTTTTTAGAATAACATACGCAACGGGTAATCATACTATAGAAAAGTTTAACGGGCGGAAACATACAACTACGATCTTCGTATTAAAAAGGAATAATGTAAAAGAGAGAGAGAGAGAGAGAGAGAGAGAGAGAGAGACGAAGGAAACTGAGAAATAAACAATAGAGGTAGCACTAGAGGGGACTATAGACATCATATTACCGCCTAACTAAACACGGCTGCATAATACCGGGATATTCAGCGAATAAGAGAGGAAATAGTCGAATGCATGGTCACCGATAGAAAGCATGAGAAGATAAAAGAGGATCTGAAATCGTATGCTCGGAAGTAACCACACCCTAGAAACAGCATTGTTCTGCTTTGCAAGGTTAGTTATTGAAGATGATGATGATCCAGGAGAAGTTTCATAATCGTCTTTCACTGTTATCTCATGGGAAGAACGTAGTTAATCTCTCCGGATTAGATGTTCCAAGTGAGAAAGAATACGACAATGGCGTGCAGAACAACATTGTTAAAGCGAATAAGAACAATGATCAGACTCTGGTAGATTCTCATCTTATGTTCTTATAGTCGAATGTGGGTGATGAAGCGAAAGAAACAAAGAAGAAGCAAAAAAAAACTGGAAAAGCAGAAAGAACATGCGAATCAATATATGGATTTTTCCAATTTTTTTCTTTCTTTCTTTATTCAAAAAAAAAATATTATTGACAATCATCTGTGCAGTGCCACTTGGAAATATGATTTTCACACAATCGCAATTAAGAAGGCAATAGTTGACAAGATAGACATCTATTATTTTTCTCATAAAATTAATATTAGCTCAGTGAGATCGATCAATGACAGTAGTATATGCACGAGAGTACACACACACACACACACACACACACACATTAAAACAAACACAATAGACACAGCATCACACACATTTAGATAAGACATGGAATATGTTCAGTGTGCTACTTGACGTAATATAACTCATGTTTCTAGCTGTGCGCATCATCGATCATGAAGAGTGTGTGTGTGTGTGTGTGCTGTATCAATCTCATGTGAATGAAAGAAAGAAAAGGGGGAAAATCGGAAATTATTTCGGAAAAGTGTGTAACACGCATCCTTCCCATTCCATCAACATTGTCGTCTGCATATGTCATTTAGCAGCGCATACATGGTAAGATTGCTTGAATCGCCTAACAGTAGTTAATATCTCAAAAGAAAAATTAAAAGCATCATGCTGTCTGGAAAAGACAACGCCAGATCAATATACATTTATAGGTCTGTATATGATGGAAGCAAGAAAAAACAGAAAAAAAAGAAAGGAGAATTTGATGTCATTCACATACACATACAATTGACCACTTGGTATAGACAAGAACTCTCTTTCTATTCTCATTTACTCTATGAACACATACACAGAATGTATTATGTCACAGTATGGGAGAATAAAGACGACAGATACTCCAGATCATGTTGAGTAGGATATTAAAAATGTGTCGATAAGTAATTCAATGATCATCAAGAATAGGTAATTATCTGTATTCATAAACTCAATGCTCTAAATCTAATTTCACAAAGAGAGAGAGAGAGAGAAATAATCTCATCGTGTACGTTTTTTTTGTCTAGTAAAACTCAATTTTACTAAAAATAAGATTATGTCTTTTTTAGCTTTGCCTTACTATCATAAGAACATACACGACTTTTTTTTAATAGAAATTTTATAATATCATAAATTATAATCCGATTTAGAAAAGCTTTAATTTAGACTTCATACATAATTATAAAAAGATGCTTAACCCCTTTGAAGACGGGCTTCTCGCAATTTTTTTTCTGGTATAGAAATAAATCTGAAGTGTCAGTATTAGTTATCATTTAATGAAAAAGAAAAAAGAACCATACTAACTGTGATAATTATCATATAAACAACATATTCATCTATGCAATAATTCAATTGGAAATGTAAAACTTTTCAAATGATATAATCAACCGAGTCTATATAAGCAGTACATACTTTTTAAACGTCGTAACGCTTTCTATTTGCAATGAAATAAGAAATCGTAACTGTTCTATATCAAAATAAAGGCTAATATGATCTTGCAGCTCTATAAGTACTGTAAATTAATTTTCTCTCTCTGTAACCTATACGTCAACCGGCGAGAGAAAAGCCAGATCGGATTTCCTGCGGAAATGAAAGTAAAGTAATATTTCTACATTTCGAAATCTATAGTCTATTACTAGGCGAGATTTGATTTAGCATGTAGATAGGCCAAAAACTAGGTTACGAAGTGTGAAAAACCGACTCCCAGACATCGACAACATTTTGTACGATGTATCTTATTATTATTATATTATGAAAAATTCTCAAGAGATGAAAAGTCTCAGTCTATATGTCCATGTAGAACTAAAGCTATATCGTAGTATATATAATGAAAGACATATATTAGACGAGAAAAAAATACTCTGTATATCCTTCTATTCAATGATTTTTCTGTCATTGTTTTCAACTCGTATTCCTGTAATAATATGTTTTCGCCAACATCGATTAATCATGGCTGCCTTTCTGAAATTAAATATTGAGGACGTAATAGAAAACAAAATAGAGCACACGAGTATATATTAATTATTATTCTAATAGTAGTAAACAAAATACAATAATGAATTGTGTACGTCAGTAAGAGATTGTTATTTGATGAATAGCCCAACAGAGTTGACTTATAATACTATTATTGTCGTCTGCAATTTACCAGATTATCAAGGAATGCAATCTATGCTCTAGATATCAATGATACTAAAAACACATTCTTTTCCATTTGGTACCTCGAAAGAATGTAATCAGAGTATCAGAATACTTGCAGATTATTTTCTTTTTATCTCTATATTAAATAATTTTCTTCGGATATTTTCCACAATTCATATTGTATTTCATGGCGACTTCAATATTAAAGCTATCTGTAGCGTATCACGTGGTTTTTAGCATATTTATTATTCTCCGCGAGTTTTCTACATAGAGATTTTCATTTACTCGTTCAATACTATTTACAAACGCTTGATAGTGACAAGAATAACAAATGTATTTCGTTCTAAAAAAGTTCATAACTCGATTTCGTTTCGATACTTTCATAATACATTTAAATATGCAAAGTAGTAGTTTTACAATGTCAAGGTTCAAGCGGAAGAAAAAAAACGAATCATGATTAAAGTACATATAAAGTATTCATTTGCAATCAATGATGGTCGTAAAGGGAAAGCATTGGAACCTCGTCTTATAATTATCGACCAGAGGAGTCACATTTTTTGTTCGTTAAGCAATATCATTCACGAAAAAAAAGCGAATTTGGAGTCCGATGCGGTTCGCTATCTTTAATTGACGAGCAAACTCTAAATCATATTTTATTCATTGAAAATCTGCAAATCAACTTCAAGGAAATAATCGTGCCATTTCGTTTTAATCAGAAAACTACAAATAAGAATCAACCATGAAAAGATCACGATAGACCTGAGTATTTTAATTATTACAATGGCATATTGATTTAAATGTCATCATATATAAAGATGAATTCCTATTCTTTGGCCTCAAAGAAAAGAATTTTGCTTTAACGATCAAAAATCCAAGAGTGAGTAACAGCTGAACGAAATGATCAAATGTTTTGCTTATTACTTTCAAAATCGCACACAAAAGAAAGCCTTGTTGAATCTCATTAAAAGAAAAATTAGCTGCTTAGAAAACTTCATCGCAAACTAAAAATCCTACCTGTTACAGTTAAATTGAACTGTCGGATGGCTCCTAGTGTTTCACATTCATAAATTCCGGAATCATTCGATTGAAGATGTCGAATATTTAGTATATTTAATTGAATTCCACTTGTCATAGTTCCATCATCAAGTCGATTTAAATTCATTTTCGAACGATATTTTGCTAGAATAATTCCATATCGTGTCGCTAATAAATTTGGCCGTTTCCACCAAGCAACATCATTTAAATCACATGTTAAACTAACATGACTATATTCCGATCGATATATAGTTTCCAAACGATTATTATCTTCTTGATTATCAGTTACTATCATATTTATTTGAATAAATAAAATAAGAAAAAAAATAAGTCGTTTTAAATGTTTAATTGTATACATGTGAATATCTTATTGACGACAATGGTAGAAGAAACATAGTCGTCGTTGTACTACTAATATATATATATATATATATATATATATATATATATATAGAATAATTATCTAGAAGCAAAAAAACATTGAAAAAATTTCTTCGGATGGAGGTAAAGGTCATAAATGCAGAACAAAACAGTTATAATGTCGTAGCAAACATCAAGATTATCAATTAGGGACAGATGATGTCATCATACATGACATATTCTTTTTTAGGCGACGATTACAATATATATGTATAGATATAAAGATAATATAAACGAACATATAGATATATGGTGAATGTCAATTTAAAAAATCTTTACTGTGTTTTTCTTTCTGTACGTATATTAACTTATACATACTATTGAGATGTACTGTATAATGAATGAATGAATGAATGAGTGAATGAATATATAGATGCATTTCTATAAGGTGGTTTCTTTTTTATTCTTTCACTTTTTTCAATACGATGACATGGTTCATTATTTTTCAATTAATATGCTCAGCATTATCATGTCGTGATAGGAAATAGAAAATGAACTAAGATCAGCAGGAGTCGATTAGTAAATAATATTATTTGACGAACGTATCGAAATAAGAAAACTATGATATAGACACTTTGAAATGTTGACACGATGATGTGAGAAAGAAAAGAGAAGAGAAGAAAACAAATTCGATAGATCTATACAAGTAAATTATTAGTCTTACTGACAAAGTTGTGTTTGTGATCATACGACGTCTCATGTTGTAACAAGAGAGATTTCTATTATTACACACAAAAAAGAAATAATAAGCACCTCTGACGCGTGAGGCAACTCATATATCGAGTGTTCTCTCTCTCTCTCTCTCCCTCTTCTTGATTTTACATGGTATATGTATTATACCCGATTAATCGAGTGACTTGCCAATTCCCCTTAGTGCTCATTCCCTTTTTCTCCCTCTCCCGGCTATAACCTCACCATTGTTGTCAAGTTACATTATAGAATGAGCCGTCCTTCGTTATACTTTTTCTCTTGAGCTCTTGTACAAACAGATCGATGTCTCCTCTTCTTTCTTTTCTTCTTATCATACAGTAACTGATGATGCCTGTTCAGGATCATCGACAGTATTCTAGTCATCAACGCATCAGATTGAATGCAAAAGTACACTGCTCTATACAAATATGTATATATATAGTCAGAGAGGTGAACAACAATAACAAATCGACTCAAACAGTTGCAGTAACACTAATCCTCTACCGTCGATTGTTCGTTCACTTACCCACCCGCTGATAGTAATAGTAAGATAAATCATCAGAACGAAAGAAGGAAGAGAACAACTCAAAACTTGATCAGACGAGAGATTTGTCTTGCGTGCGAGAAAACAATTATCGCCACACACACACACTTGTGCTGAACAGAATACATCAAGCAGGAAGTGACTGGCTAGAAAGCAAGTTCTAATATTGACGAAACGGCTCAAGTCCCATAATGATTTCTTTTGACACACACACATATAGACAGAAGAAGTCAAATGATGGCCGCAAGCACCAATAAGATTATGAAACTTTTTTTGTAGCTCACTTCTCTTTTGTCTATGTGCTTCTCTCTTTTTCTTCTTTTTAGGCACAGTCTTTTCTTTTTGTTTCGTTTTTGTATATGTTACAACAATGACGAACATAAAAAAAAAACGAGAACTTGCTGAAATAAAAGTCATTAGAATCGTAAAAAAACATACATAACCCAGCTGGCACAGCTGTAGATCGTTCCAAATGATTCTTACGAATGTAACACGAGATAGTGTAACAAGGACGACATCCTATGCATCGATTACCTCGGGACAGTTAGATACAGATATGTTATTATTTTCTTTTTCCTGTTGTCTGTCTATCTATTTCTCTCTACTGAGATCATTGTTAAGATCTATATCGTTTACCTTAGCAAGAATAAAAACAATTACATCAAACAGTATGCCACTCGATCGAAGATCAATGATGAAGAACAAAGAGTTTGAGCAATGAGTAGAAAGAACACTCATGAGATCTTCGACTTACTAAACAAATTTTCTTTTTTCTTATGTCCGTTTCTAGTGTGTTGCTTTCTTTTTTCTTTTTGTTCTTCTATGTCTTGTCTCTCCCTCTCTCTCTCTCTCTTGCTCCCTCTCCTGTGAGAATCAATCATCGTGAGACGATTTCCGATGATCTGAACGAGCGAAATTTGCTTTTAGGTTTAGTGGAACTAGTGTTCATCGGCTATCGGAATAAAATGACAGAGAGGCACACAGAATATTAAAAAGAAACGAGAAGAGAAATGTAAGGCAAATACGCAATAATACAAATGAGGTCATCTTCAGACAGGTGCTTGACAATGAAAACATAAAGAGAGGAACCGATAGGAAGATAGATAATCAATTTACCTCGTAACTGATTGTATTTTCTTGTTCTCTTTTTTTTCCTACTCAATAGACGCAAATTCAATTTAGGATCCATAGCTACATAACCTAGCGATGATACTTACAAATTCTATTAAAATTCGAGTATCCACTTTTTTTGACTTGATGTCTTGAACAGAAAAGATCTTAATCGTCTGTCACTCTATATAAAAAGAAGCAAAAGAAAGAAGAAACGAGAAAGAAGCCACTTGATTTTTTCATCGGTTAACACTGTAGATTGTAATTGTTCAATCAAGCAACCGGAAAGTCATAGCTAGAAAAAGGCGTATACAAATGCTTCCTTTTCTCTCTAAAAATATATCTGCAGGCACACCCAAGCATATGCGTATGGACAATTAAAATTAAGACTTCCATTGTCTCAACGCAAAAAAAAAGAAAATTTTTTCTTTTTAAACAAGTACCTATTCATTATTGATTTTTAATCGATCTACATTGATCGAAAGTGTGTACTATACTGAACAAACAGGTCGTTATAAGTTGCATGCTTGTTAATAAAGATAAATGACATGCGAAAAATAAACACATTCGTCCGTCTAGAATACTCGATAAATGTACAATGCTAATAAGTCAGTTAACACGAGTCGAATCGAATCAAAGATAATATTATCATTACTTTTGGTATGATTATTATTATTATTATTATTACTGTCGTACTTGATTTTGTTCATAATCTTTGAAAGAAAACATGCGTCAGACAGAGCTTATTATTCTAATGGCATAATAGATAAAAAGAAAAAGTGTGTTAGCATTTTATAAGAAGAAAATTGATGATACATTGAAGATGAGCTGACAGGAAAAGGAAAAAAAGATAGATCTTAGAGTATAACCGAAATATTTCTTGTTGGTGCTTTAACCTTGCTATGAAAATTTTCACTCACTTTCCTATATCATCTTCATTACATCATCATCATCACTGTGAGGGTGTGTTCATGCATCGACTAGGTATCTAGAGAGAAAAAGAAAGAAGAGAGCGACATATTCATTATTTTGATTACATTAGCATTTGGCTCGTTTTCTCATTATTCGATGGATAATACTTATCTCCGTTTTTCTTTTCTTTCTTCTTATCTGACTCTTCATTTTGACAATTGAGATCTATTCTTTTCAACCATCAGCATCATCAACGCTGAACTGCACTTTCATTGGGCATAACATTCTTCATTTGATTTCCGATTAAAAATTAACCCCGTGTGTTCTTCGTGCTCGTTCACGTAAGCATTGATTATGAATACTATGACATACAGAGTTAATTATACGAACGGTTCTACAAAAATGAATCATCGACGAGTTCAAAATGGTGTCAAGAAAAAAAAATCTAAATATCTCAAACACTTAATAACCACATTGTATATCTATGTTCTTCAAAATAATCCCACCCACTCATGATTTTCTTTTATACAATAAGATAAGAAATAATTCATCAATTGATCGAAATTAGCCTCAAGAACTGAGATAAAAAATATACATATGAGTGCAAGTATCTAATTAGACAGGACACCTCCAGTTATTTTTCTTTCTGTCTCTAGATTTATCATTGTACGAGAAAACTCTGATTTTTCTTTCCGTAATAAAATTTGTCCGTGAAAATCTTTAAATTATTTTATTTAAAAATTACCGAATCTAAACTAAACCATTCCAAGATGATTGCAAATATTCATGAAATAAACATTACATATTGTATCTTTATTTCTTAGTCGATTGTTAAAACTTACGATTTTTTAAATATTTAAAATTCATTGATGAAAACATTCTGATTTCTATTCTTTGTTTTGTTTTTAATATCAAGTTCAAATTACATAATTTTGAATGAAAAACAAAAGAAAAGAACGAGACACTATATTGAAGGATTATATTTAATGTCTACGAAAAGAGTGTCACATGAAGAGCTGATGATATAACAATGTTTTGAAATACATCGACGACAGAAAAAAAAAAACTTATATTTCTTCTATTTCATTACCAGGACCTTTAGCAAAATGTTTCATATTGTTTTGAAGCGATTTCATAAGTGCATGAGCATCACGACGCATTTCTTCATTATGTAATTGATCGTAATCAGCTAAAGCTTCCTAATTATGAACAAAATATTGACTTAAACTGAATGTTTTGTTCATCACTAATATTATTTATTTACTTCGTATGCTTGTTTAGCTATTTTTAAAGCATTATCAGTTTTTGATTTTGAATTGAAACAAAAAACTGAATAATTAAGCATTATACCAACACGTACGGGATGATATGCAGGTAGATTGTTTTCCGCTAATTCTTTTGCATTTAAATAACAATGGTTAGCTTCGTTTTGTAATGATTCTTTAAGATTTGTTGAAGCTATTTCAATTTCATATCGTATAAAGTCACCTTTCATACGTTCGTAAAATGCGATTTGTTCAGCATCGTTACGTGCATTCGGTGTAAGAATATCTTTTACAATAGCTAAAATTTAGATATTAGATCAAGGTGGTGATAGAATCTTGTTCGATATCAATATGTAAAACACGATGTAGCAGCTTATCTTGTTCAATCGATTTTTATGAAAAAGTTATTCAGCAATTTTTCGCATAATCCTTGGCAAATGCAATAATGAGACGTCATTGACATATAGGTCTATGATCATATATCAACAATATTTGTCACGGTTTATCAGACAGCGAGAAAAAAACTATCGGTAAGGTATATTTCACGGTCTTGAAAGCTCAATACTTTACTTCTATGCTACTAGACAGTATTTTTACAAATAGCAACGTTAGTATGCTTCTTCTTTTTTTTTCTCGATATTCTTCTAAGTATTACTAAGTAATTCTTGACATAAATTCCATAGTTCATTAGCAATTTCTTCACGATATTGTTCACAAATCTAATAGGAAAAAACAGCGAACTTGATTTTTGCTTTTAAATATTCAAAAAATTTCTACTTGTGTTAATTTAGCTTCGTCAAGTTTCTTGCAATAAACTGAAAGATGACGAATGGCTATTAAGAGAGACAGAGAGGAAAAAACATACGAATATAATGTATTAATAATATATAAATGTAAACACATTCATACGCACACCTACACACCTGTTCTTCGTGTTGTGACAGCATTTTTATATGCGACAACAAGTAAATTTCTTTCGTCAGCAGTTAATTTCTTTTTTAAATCAAGTACATTTCTCATTTGTACTAACATATCTTCATAGCGTAAAGCTTTTTCGGCTAAACGTGCTCGAAAGATATGATCTTCGACAGTAAATGTAGATTTTTTTGAATTTATTCCTAATCCAATGCCATCATTAGTGTTAGCAATCAATGAATTTGGTTGATTACGCATGCTTTGTATTCGTTCTTCTATTGAATATGACATTGAACTTGATTTAGACAATTAGTAGGAAGAACAAGAAAGAAAAAAAGTCAGAACAAATTCGATTGAGTGAAATCTATGAACATTTGCTCTCTTTTTTTTTATGATACGCGCATTTTTCAACTTTTTTCCTTCTTTTTCTTTCTGATACAATCTGATGATCATTAAAAAAAGTTTATTTTGAGATATATATTTTTTTCTGGTATGTATAAAATCGCAATTACCAAAATAAACAGAAACTAATAAGTATCGAAGACCTGATAAATCGGCTGGTCTCCTGCTATATATAAATTGTTATCGTCATCGCATGCCTGTAACGAATCGCAACAACCCACGCTTCTTTAAGGGTTACTTCACAAGTGGGCACATATCTATTAAAGATGGCTTGAGACTATTCAAGTTAAGTAATGAATACCATCACGATAGAAGCGAAAGAGATATTGACAAATGATTGACTTTTTTTTCTTCTTCTCTCGTTGAGACGGCCGTTGTACTACGAGGGTAAATGATAAATGGACGAAGTAAAAATGCGAATGTACGGGAGTTGTCATCAAAATATCGTTGTATATGTAAGGGCGACGATAGACGCAAAAAAGCCCTTGTGGTATATGGTTTGCTTCATTGATTTCGATCATGGTATTTAAAATGAGAAGCAAACAAGTTTTTTGTATACCTGTTTCATTCAATATCACCCCCAGTGACACATTCGTAATACAATGACTGAAGACTTATTCAATCAAGCTGGTAGGAATTTTTAGTTTTAGTTCTTAGTTATTTTGTTTTTTTCTTCAATGTGCTGGACAGATATTAACAAAGATCAACGACTTGATATCGATGAATTTCGTGGTCTTCTCATACGCAATTTAGGTGTTGGCTCGGCCTCATCAGGTGCATATGGTGATGCAAGTGCTGCTGGTGGCAATTATAGCGGCGGCTTTGAGTCACTGGGGACAACTGTCAACGGTGCAGGTTTCGCTGGTGGAGAATCAAGCTATGGTTCATTCAACCAATCAGCTTATTCATCGACGTCTGGTGTAGGTGCCAGTAGTTTTAATGATAGTACTTTAGGAGGTGCCAATGTTAGTGGATTTGGTGCTAGTGCATCATCAGGTTTCGACCTGAACAGTTATGGTGCAGGTGCTACTTTATCAAATGAAACTGGAGGATTTTCATCGCAATCAACAGCAGAAGCAAGTACTTCTCAACAACAATTTCAACTAGCGACAAATAACCAGCAAAATCTTTTTCATGACCCAAATCCACAAATTGTACGTCGTCCAGCGCCAGGTGGTAGTCTAACTTATACACAAAACATTCGAGTTCGATTTCTTCAACCACCACCTGTTCCACCTCCAGGCGTAAGTTTTCTTGTTTGCCTGCGTATTATACCACACTATTCTTTTTGATACTACAGCCACTCATCATTAAAGAGGTGCGTGCACCTCAACCACCTCCACCAGTACCACTTCGTATTCGTCAACAAGCACCACCTCTACCACAACCACTGCCACTTGTTTTACGTGAAAGACCACCAAATCCACCTGCTGTTATTGCTTCACAAACTGGTACATAAGAGCAAGAATTCACGAGCAAAAGAAAAATAAAAAAATACATTTTTGAATGATCTTTCTAGTTATTCGTCGATTAGCTGCTATTCCTGTTCCACCTCGATCAGTCATCATCGAACGCTTACCACCTCTACCACCTAAGCCTCGTATGTTTCTCGTCTTCTTTTCTTTTTTCTATAAATTCTTTGTAATACGTATTTTTAGGTGATATTATCATCGAACGATGGGTTCCATATGGAGCACAACCAAAACGAAAAACTATCGTTCAACGAGCAGAAGCTGCCAAAGAATATCCTAAACCTCGTAATATCATTGTTCAATATGAACCCGTTCAAGTACGTGTTGTTCGACAATTTCAACGTCTTGGTGTTACTCCAGAAAATCCACAAGCATACATGCAACGTTATCGAACAGTACTTTTAGATGCTCAATCATTAGTACAACAAGCACGTACTGCTGGTGTTGTTGAAGATATCGTAAGTTGAGAGATAGAACTTCATTATAGATGGTTTCTTGATCATTTCTAGTCCGCACCACGAGCCGCCGGAAGTAGCGAAACACATTCAACAGCATTCAATGCACAATTCACTAGTGGAAGCTCTGGAATAGAAACAAGTGGCAGCGCAGATTTTACACTAGGTGGTGGTGTAGGTCATACAGTTGGTGGTGAAGCTGGTGCTTCGGCATCATCTTTTGAATCATTCAATTATGGTGGTGGTAGTGGTCAACAAGAAAATGCTAGCTATTCAGGCATTGAATCAGCTCACAGCGTTGGTGTTGCTCATGATTTCTCATCATCATATGAAGCAAATTCATCGGGATTTCAAGGTGGTAGTGGTAGCACAACCGGATACGAAAATTATAGTGCTTCGACAGGTGATGCTTCAAATTTTGCTGCTAATGCATTCAGTGCAGCAGATACAAACAAGGATGGAACCCTTGATGCCGAGGAATTTCGTCGATTCCTCAGTTCTCAAATTTAATATCAGTAAATGAGCTAAAATCTTTTCTTGGCAAAAAAAATGTCATTCTATAAAAATTTCTTTTTCTCATTTTAGATAAAAATACAAGTGATTCACTAAAAGTTTCAATCATAAAATTATGAAAAAAGACAAGATTTCTACAACGACGATTCCTTGTCACAAGGACACTGAGTCTGTTCGTTTTTTTCTTCTCCTTTCTTTATTCAAATATATTCTTCCTTTACTACATAGATATTCATTTTGTTTCTTTCTGTATTCTGTATTCTGTTTCATTATAAGTTGTTTACATTAATTATGTTTTCCTTTGCTGCATTTCTTGCTTTAACATATTTTTAAATGTATGCATAAGTAAATACTTAATTACGTAGTTTTTACCATTTAGTTTCTTGTTTCACCTTCTACTTACATTAATTAATAAATAAAAACGACACACTTAGTAGTATCATAGATATGTTGATAATGATTTATTTTTACTTTCTTTACATACTAATGAATAGAAGAACTATGAAAAACGAATTAGTAAACTAGGCGAATCATATTTATTTTATAAACAAGGATGTGTTTCTATATGTTTAACTTCGTTTATATCGATCGTCAATATCTAAATTAACTATAAATATGCAATATCACGGCTGAACACACATCTGCTGACAAGTTTTATAGATATGAAACATTAATTTCACAAATACCTTTGAGGGTTTTCTTGGCTATACGACTAAGATGTTGAAATTTGATACTTTTATGTCGTATCACTATTTAGAGCTGGACAATCTCTGCAAGTGAAAATTAATTTCATGTTGTTGATATTCGATTTAAACAATAAATAATATATAAAAAAGAATCTATTACCACCTATTGATATATTTGAAAAGAAGAAAGTATATTTTTGATGCTGAAATAACTTCAAAATTTAATTTATCTGCATAATGTTTCTTGTATCGGAATAAGAAAATATACCTATCTAGTGAGAATACGAATTACAAACTTTACTTCACTTTTTGGAAGATATGGTAACGCAGGTTAGTTTACTCTGATTCATTGTTACTATAATAGAAACAGTGACGTAGTGTAGAACTAGGAAGATCTTTTTTCGTGTACGTTTGCTCATTGTCGTCGTATTTGTACGTCAAACCTACGTAGATTGCCTTGCCAGTCTATTACCGTCCACTCTATGCGCACTCACTTCAGGGCTATGAAGAACTCTTTCTAATCGTGCGTACAAATAGTGAATAGCTAATAAATAGCAATAACCAAAGCAATTTTATTGAGTGAATATAAGAGAAAATAAACATTTACATCTTTTCTTTCACACAGTCAATATTATCAATTGTTATTTGAATTAGAGGATGAGTTGATGGAAGATTCTTACGTCGAATAGTAAGTGCCTTTTCTAGATACGAAAGTGCTTTCGAATAGTCATCCATGTTGTCATACACTCTACCAATGTCATTGTAGATATTAGCCAATTCGGGATGATTCGGAGGCAGAGATATTTCATACATGTTGAGTGATTTTTCGTAAAATTCAAGTGCTTTTGAATAATCACTCATGTTATGATACACTAGACCAATATTTCTATAGGAAGCAGCCGAATCGGGATGATTCAGAGGTAAAGATATTTCTTTTATTTTTATGGATTTTTTGAAATAATCAAGTGCTCTCGAGTAGTCATCCATGTTGTTATACACTAGACCGATGTTGTTATAGGAAGTAGCCAATGAGGGATGATTTGGAGGCAGAACTTTTTTCATTATTTCAAAATCTTTTCCGTAAAATTCAAGTGCTTTCTTATAGTCACCCATGTGATTATAGACAAGACCGATGTTGTTGTAGGAAGTAGCTAAATCTGGATGATTCGGTGGTAAAGATATTTCTTTTATTTTGATGGATTTTTCGAAAAGTTCAAGTGCTTTGGCATTTTCATCCATGGCTTTATACACTGCACCAATGTTGTTGTAGGTAAGAGCCAAATCAGGATCATCTGGAGACAAGAATTTTTCTTTTATCTCACGTGATTTGTCGTAATATTCAAGTGCTTTCGAGTAGTCACCCATGCTTTTATAGACAAGACCAATGTTGTTATAGGTACCAGCCAATGAAGCATCGTCTTCTGGAAGAGTTTTAAGTATGACTTCAAGTGAATTTTCGTAGAAGATGGCTGCTTCTTGGTATATACCTTGATGATATTTTAACATTCCAAGCTGATGATAGATATGTGCTATATTGCGATCACTCGAAGCATTCTTGAGTAATTCATTATAGAGTTCTTCAGATTGACTGAAATGCCCCACTATGAGCATCAGATCACCCAAACGATGCCATCCAGTGGAGCCAGTGATCTCCTTTTTAATACGATCAGTAAGAGCAGCAAGTTGTGGATCATTATCGCCGGTAATAGCCAATTGTACTTCCCAAAGGCGATTGTTCTCGATGGTTTGTTTTATATCAACCACACGAAACACTGTGTGCATTGTAAATAGAATTTCTTGTTCGGCTGGAATAGCACTGTATTCGTCAATCATAGCAAATGGAGTAGTCTTTGCTGATATTTTACTTTGATCGATAGTCATAATAAAAATGATTCCAACAATGTCTTCATTGTTGCTCATGGTAAGTTGAACAAACTCCATGGCGACTCTTCGCTGTTTACTAGTGGATAAGAAGCTGTTGAATGAGAGGAGTCCACCTTTCGTGTCGAGAAGATGCTGAAAGGCTTCTTTTGTCATACCCTGTCCACGGTAAACGAGAAATTTCTTTTCATACGTACTTAATTGTTCTTGGTGTTGTTTTTCCAATTGTCGATGTAAATTTCGAATGAAAAATCCAATTTTCACCATGCATTCCATATCTAATGATCGCAACGCTTTGTTAAGCGTACCGTAGAGAAAGCTTTCCTTGGTATACCACCATATCGACAATTTTGGACAATATTGACGCTCAAACTCATCTAGTTCTGATTTGGAAATATTTTTTTTATGGCAATAAGTGACTAAACTTTTCATTGATTTTTCGTCATCTTCATTTATTTCCAACATAATTTCTTTGAACAACACCGAGTACATATATGATGGTTCCAATTCGTCAATATTTTGTTGTTGTGACTCATCTCCTATTGCTAGAGATTGCTTCGGTACAAAACTCATCGGAATGCTATCATGATCGCAATGACGGGCGATCTTTTTCAATGATTCACAAATGGGCTTGATTGAGGTGAAAACACCTTGAATCTTTGGCCATTCTTTCACCCACTGTTTGTGGCGTACCTTATTACCACAGAAAATATAAATGGCATCTACTTGTGGCATGCTATGAATATCGAAAACAAGGTGATGACCTAATGCCCCTGATGAGATGATAAAGGCTTTTCCATCATCCATATCATTCAAAAATTCGATGCATTGTTCCGGCGTCGTGCAAACATTCACTTCGCTTACCACTGTACGCAATTGGTCCAATGAATTCTGACAATCTTCATTATTTGTGTTGATGTTGCCATCCACCCAAATAACCAAATAATTTTGAACCATACGACGCCTGGGTTGCATGACATCTGATGTTGTTGTTCTATCTGTGACAGCACTATCTGTTGGTTTTGAAATGGTTGAATTGTTATTTTGATCACTCATATTGAGTACAGATATTTTCATCGGATCAATGGTCGCTAATTGCGAAGGATTTTTGTCACTGCACACCAGTCACTGCTTCTATTTGTTTTTCTTGGTGTTTTTTACTTATTGAAAGGTAGGTGTATTGCTTTTTCGTTGACAGTCACTATCACGCTTCATCCAATCTCACTATTGACAATACAATCGCCTATCAACAAACGAACGAGACAAAACTCCAACAGCACAATTTCTTGTAGTGTTATTCGTTGCAATTTTCATTTGTTTTTCATTTGTAAGACAACTTAAAAGTGCTATTTTTTTCTCTTTCTGACAAAATCACAAAGATTTCACCAATTCAGTTATTTTTGGATTATAAATGTAAATTATTCTTGTTTAAGGAGAAAGAGTACAGGGCACACACATTGCATCCACATCCACATCCTCAAGAATTCGTCCTAATATTGGTGTTGTATTCAATCACAATAGAATCATTTTTAATATTTGTAGCTGTTTGTATTTGTATCGTTGGATAGATATTAATTGTTTCCTAAAATAAATAATGATAAGATTAAGCGATGAGAATTGTACAATAATTTATATGGTTAATAAAAACACGCATATGATTGATTAGCAATTTTTTCAATTGCTTATAACGTTTTAATATGGGATGCTTCAATATGAATAGCGGTTGTTTTTCTAAGACAAAAAATATAATATATATAAAGATGAATAGAATGTATTACCTTCAGTAAATATTTTATTTTTCTTGATGGTCCAGTGAAAAAGGCCCAAAAAATGATACCTCTAAACAGTAACAGAGAAAGAGGCAATTATAAGAAAATGTATTCGCTACCTGTGTTTTACACGACAATTTGATAATAGATTAAGTTAATCGAAGGATAAATAATGTAAATACCTAGAAAAAAAAGATCAGTATTTGTACATAAAAGAAAAACATATACGTATACTACGTTCAATTTAAAACATTAATGATTTATCAAAATGAAGAGTCCAAGTATCAGTCTAACGTCTCTAACAGAGGATAATATTGAATTATTGTAACATATTGAGAATGAATTTTGACGTATGAACATAAATTAAAGAAAATAAACAAATAATATAGGTCAATGAAAATGGCCAAGCGTTCATAGTTTGTTAATACACTAAAAAGGAAAGTGGGTATTAATGTATTTCATTCTTCATTTCTAGAAGCTTATGAACAAAAATGATGGATATTAAGCAATTCACAGGGTTTTCACGTTTGGACATTATCATAATCGAACTAAGAATAATGTCAGATGGGTGTCTTACAAAAGAATATAATTAATTTGAAAAATAGTGATGAAAATCATGTTGTATTAAATAAAATTATTCTCCTCAAATCAAAATTGATCATCGAGTTGTTTTCACAGGCAGTGTTGATTTCCCATTTTTTTGGCAAATGAATTTTTTGGAATATCCAATTGAATTTTCATAAATTAGAAAATCAAGTATTTTCTTAATTTTCAAGATTTCACGATTGAATAATGCAAGTTTGAAAATGCTTCAGCTTTGTTTAAGTCGATTTTCTAATAAGTAGAATTTCAAAACAACTAACAGTGTATTGATTTACAATTGTCAGTTCCTTTTTTCTATCAATTAAAAATCACATCATATAGGTGAAGAAAAAGTCCGTGAAGGTCAAACTATTGAGTTACATATGTCAGTTCTTTTTTGATACAATGATTTTAGTTGAGTTGTCTATGTTAATTGAATCCAGTTTATGATTTCAAAAAGTTCTTGTTTACTATCGCCTTGATATTACTTCCGTTTGATAAGAAAAAGGAAAATGGAGTAAGAAAAAAGAGTAATGTCTGTATCTATATAAGTAGAACACTTTGTGTGTTGGCAATGAATTAGACTCATTTGCCATCCATCAACTATTATTACAATAATAAAAGCGTATGAATATGATCCACTATTTTTTGTACATTCAATTCATTCGAATTTTTATCATTCTAGTCAGGCATGCTTTGCTTTCAAATGTTGCTTTCGGTAATAATCCTCGGTAAGTTAGCATTGCTCTTGATCGAGTAACCTTTTTGTGCATCAATACTCCATATTTTTCCTTTCTAGTACAATCAATCGTAGTTAAGAGTTATACTTGGAATCCAGATCCTCAAGTATGTATTTCTTTTTACACACAAATTAAAGTATCAATACCATTGTTCTCAAGAGCAATTCATGTATAAGCTCTTAGCTAATATTCAAACAGCTTAATTATGTTACAAAACTGATATTTTCCTTATTGCGTCTTTGTGTATTTTACAAAGCCTTTTCAAAGACAGTTTTGAAGGCAATTGAATGACTGCGATTTATCTTTTCACTTTTTTTTTATAGCGTGCAGCGACCCTTCAAGCTCGATGGAACAAATTTAACTCTCTTCCATACATAACTGAAGCAGCAGTTGAACAAGTTTGTGGCGCACTCGGCGATCCTAAATGTTGGAAACCAGCTGGAAGACCGTCGGACGAAGAAACAGAAAGTTGTGATAGATGGTGTTGCCATCGGGGTTTCATAACTGGATCTTGTCAGGGAGGTGTTTCAATTGGTATCAGTGGTAACAACTATGGATCGGTACGCGGTGAAATGCATTATAAGCCTACATTTAATGGCTTTTCAAACTGCATCTGCACTAACGACCTAACAGATGTGAGATGTGGCATTGATGGTTCGTTTTTGGGAATTCGATGTCCTGCTGATTGGAGTGCATGCCGTAGAAAGTGTTGTCGTCAAGGAAGATCAGGCGGACATTGCGGTGGATTCTTGCGCTTGAAATGCAAATGTGATTAAGGTGGAAGTGTATTCATCCTTGTCTCCGATTTTACTGCTAATCTCTAAAAGTACTCCATGAAATAAAATAATTCTGAAATTTTTCCTATTATCAAAAATATGATTTCTAATTTAAAATGTTTTAAATTTTAATATAATAACGAAATATTCGATCTGATACCAACATTTTCAACCGAAAAACAAGGATTTTTAACAAACAGATATTTAGAATAAAATCTAAGTTAGTGATGCTATTGGTTATGATGTTATAGGTTTACTGAATCCCATGGCTGAATTTTTCTTCGTTGCTTGTTTGTTTGCCATGTGTTATAATATCTGTTGATTAACAGTCCAGATATTTAGGTTGATAATGACCGTATAAGATCGAACATTTTCGTATTATGTTAAAATTACAATACGTAATTTCCATCAGAACGCTTCAATATTTATTCATTTATTAGAAACTTAAAAAATTCAATGAAATAGACGTGGGAAATGAAAGTAAATAGTGAAATATGATCATTTTCTATGCTGCATGACTTTATTTCTTTCCTGTTTTCATAGCGATAAATAAATTACACCAATAGCATTGTTCAAATTTAAATTGATAAGATCTCTTGCTGGTCATGACTTCCCAGGTCAATGAATCCGACAGTGAATCCTATCGGATCTCATGGGATCCGACAAGCTGACAATATCTGATCAGATTTCTGGTCACGAACCTACTAACAGATCCGACGGAGAAAAACATTTTCTTAATGACCAATGAATAAGCATATGGTGCCAACAGAACAGATAGGTCGAATGCTTACGCTAGATTCCATTAAATTCCGACACTGGAACCTATTAGATTCCAACACTAGGATTCCGATTGTAGGTTCCCCACCGGATGCCGATAGGATTTCGTCGGTTTAATGAAATCTATAAGTATTATATTCGATAAGATTTTGACACGAATCCGATAGGATCCCACTATCGGAATCATTCTCTTGGGTATGACAACTTAAGTGCTATTATATCAAACTTCTTGTCTCTCGCATTGTTTCTTTTTCTCTTTCTGGAAAAATCACAAAGATTTCATCAATTCAGTTATCTTTTGATTATAAATGTAAATTATTTTTGTTCAAGTAAATGAAGCCAGAAGGGAAAATTTAATTTTTCATCAAAACAGCAAACATTATCTGTAGCTATTAATCATGTATTTAATTGGTGTAACTCATAAATATTGGAGAAGTAATAAGTTAACTAATAGAAATTTTAAAATGGCGAAAGATTGAACTAACTATGATCGATTTGAATAAGATTGACAGAATACAATGACGATTACATGTATAGAGGATGAGTGTGTGTGGTTGCCTATAAGTGTGCAGGGCACACCCACTGCACCCAAATCCACACCCACACGCTCACTCTTTGCTCTACAAAATTCTATATTTGTGATTTCAGCAGAATGTAGCCATTTTGAGATAAAGGCGTCTATATTTTCAACTCATTTACTGAAACATGTCATTGAAAAGCCGTTTCAGGAATGTGAAATGTATTTCGGTTTGTTGAGTAAATTGAGTTGAACATTTTGATATAATTTGTTTTTAAAAATAGTTTAGAAATAATCACGCTGGACAAAAATATAGAAAAAACAATCTCGAATGTTTCCTTAAAAAACGGTTTTCATGATTTTCGCACATGAATTTTACAATTTTTTTTTACTAAAATGATCAGCAAAACAATCTCTACAAAACTGGATAGAATACGAAAGTTTTTGAATACTTTGTTTTACTTTTTGGTTGACTTCCCATAAAATAACCGTTTGATAATTTTTTCAAAATTTTCTACGGTGCAATATACGTATATGGACGTCTACAGTCGTTTAAATAATAGATTAAAGTTAATTCTATTTTTGCAAAATTTTAATGTGAAAATGATGTTTTAAAATTTATTTATTATACCTATGAATATGTAATTCGAATGTTTTCATCAGTAATTTAAGAATTACATTCTCTGTATATCGATATAATATTAACAATACCACCTGATGAAGTCCCGCCAACATAGAAACAACCGTTGTCGTGGCACGGCGTTACAATTCTGTGTGCACACCCCCACCCTCAATTTGAACCAATAGAAAAAGGAACGGAACTCTATTGTGAACAAGTGTTTTGTATTGTTAATTGAAGCGTACAAAATGTTTCTTCCCATTAAAACTACCTTCTACTTCAGTTCCATCCTTATTTTTTCTTTCATTTCTATCAATTCTTTCGTAAGTGACATTATGTTCGTATCATTTTTGTTCGAGTTCCATTGTGCGATATTTAACCCATCTTCAACGAATGGAAGTGCTTTTAAAAATTCACCAATTTTACAATATATACTTCCGATGTTTCTGCACATGATTGCCAAATCAGAATGATTTGAAGGAAGATATTTTTGTAGAATTTCACGTGCTTTTTCACAAAATGAAATTGCTTTTAAATCATTATTCATCTTGCTATATGCGCGTCCAATGTTGTTGTAAGTTGTAGCCAAATTAAGATGATTTCCAGAGAGAGATTTTTGTTGAAATTCACGTACCTTTTTAAGACAGGAGAGTGCGTTCGGATAGTCAACAAGTTCGAAATATATATGTGCCAGAGTATTATGAATCAGGGTATTCAAAAGCTGGCTTTCATTTCCAGATTTTTGTAGACTATCAAGAGCCTCTTTAGATAATGACATTGCTTGTGAGTAATCCTTTTTTTCGAGATATACCAAACCGTAATTGTAGTAAAAAGTAGCCATTTGAAAACAATTTGGAGGGAGAGATTTTTTAAGAATATCATTTTCTTTTTCACAATGCGAAATTGCATTTGAATAAGCGTCCATTTTGGAGTACAAGAGAGCGATGTTACTGTAAGAAGTGACAAAATTAGGATGATCCGGCTTAAGCGAACTTTTTTGAATTTCAAGCATTTTTTCAAAATATGAAAGTGCCTTTGGGCAGCCTTTCATTGTGCGATAACTACATCCAATGTTATTATAAGTTGTAGCCAGAGCAGGATGGTTTTCAAAATGAGACTTCTGTTGAATTTCTATCGCTTTTTCATAAAAAGAATTTGCTTGTTGGTACTCGTGCATATAAAAATACACCAAGCCAACGTTGGTGTACATTTCAGGCAAATTAGAATGATTTTCAGGAAGGAATTTTTGCTTAATTCCAAGTGCTTTATTCAAAAATGATAATGCTTTGGAAAATTCTCCCATTTCTGTATGTGCACTTCCAATGTGATTGAAACAGACCGCCAAATGAAGTTGATTTGAACTATTAGACTTTTCATGACATTCTAATGCTTTTTCATGATAAAAAATTGCTAATTGTTGTTGATCCAAAGAGGAATACACTTTACCTATGCTGTTGTAAGAGCAAGCTATATCAGGATAATATACAGGAAAAGTAGTTTGCAGCTATATGAAGTGCTTCTTTTGTAAACGATAATGCATTTTAATAGCCTCCAACGCTTTCATACAGTAATCCAATATAGTTATAATACATAATAAAGTCAGAATGATTTTCAGAAAGAGATTTTTTTGCACCTTCAATCGATTTTTCGTAAAGTGAAATTGCTTCGTAGGGCTTGCCCTCATCAAAAGACATATTACCAACGTTAGCTTGAATTGCAGTTAACTCATAATGTTTATCAGGAAGAAATCCTAAACGTTCCTCTGCTCTTTTAAGAATCGCGTCAGTCTTTGTTTGTTGCCCCATAGTGCAATACACGACGCTGATATGACGACTATTAGGAAGAGACTCTATTTTACTTTTCAATGCTTTATCATAAAACGAAATAGCTTTTGGATAGTCAGCTTTTTGGAAATAAGCCATACCCATATTTACGTATACAGAATCTAAAATAGCCTGAGTAACAGGCAGATCAGGCTGACCCCGTTTAATGGCTTCTTTGAGAAGCTTTATTGAATCGTCAGGATTTCCCTCTCCCAACTTGGCAATACTGTGGAATTAAAGCAAATTTGTTATTTCCCCGATATCATTCGCCTGTTGCAGTTGCAGAAGATTGTCACATATTTCGTGCACTTCTTTAAATTTTCCTAATATTAGAAACAAACTAGCAACACGATGCCATCCAGGTACAACATTTACTTGATCTCTTATGGCACCAGTAATTGCTTGCAATTCTGGATCATTGTCACTGGTAAGTATCAGGCTTATTTCCCATACATCGTCGCTACGCTTCATTGGTTGACAATAATTTATGCGACAAATAGAATGCATGGAAAAAAGTATTTCTTCTTCTGCTTCGTAAGCACAGATATTTTGAGTTTCAACATACAGTGTGGACTCGATTGTCGGATCAATGGTCATTTTGAAAACAACTTTAATAGTATCAGAATTCACTTCACTAGCATTGGCGAACATGAGAGCTACATCCTTATCATAAGAAGTTGACAAGAAGCAATTGAAGCTTAACAACCCATCGATGCTGTTTTGCACAAGATCAAACTGCTGTCGATGCAATGACTGTCCCCGATGCAATTCAAATGGTTTTAAGTTACCATTCCCTGTCCAGTTCTTTCTATGAAGACTACTAATATGTTCATGAAGATCATGAATAAAGAAAGCTAATTTGATGATAGCATCGGGATCAGACGCGCCAACCCTTGCGCCACGGAGTCTTGCTTTGTACTGTTTTGATGCCTTGTATCCTTCGAATCTAAACGAATATTTGAGCCAAAAAAAAGAATCACAAACTGACCCCGACGTGACTTGAACACGCAACCTTCTGATCTGGAGTCAGACGCGCTACCGTTGCGCCACGGAGTCTACCTTTAGAGTACTATTTGAATTATTTTGGTTTTACAATACAAGAATATTTGAGAAAAAAAAATTGGAATTACCCCGACGTGATTCGAACACGCAATCTTCTGATTCAGTTTTCATCAAACGTAATGCTTCGTTAATCGCACTATAAAGGAAGGGTTCTTTTGTATACCAGCAGATTGCGTTTTTTTCTCGTATTTTTGTTCAAATTCTATTATGCCATTTGGAATACCACCAGATCCCTTGTGCTTTTCGTTATAATAGTGGATATATTCTTTCAAGTCTTTTTCGTCAAACACGAGAGTCGAAATGATTTCCTTTAGTATTTGCGTATACATGAAAGCTGGGTCCAAGTCGTTGAGACTTTTATCCTTGAAAGCTGCATCGTTTTTATTCAAGACACCGATGGAAATCGAATTCTGATTATATTTTCTGGTAAAGTCTTAAGCTTCACAAATAAATGTCATATCTTCATAAATACCTTTTACTTTAGACTGTTTTTTAATCCATTCTTCGTCGTCCAGTATTTTCCCTCGAAGAATATAAATTGGCATAACTCGGGACATGTCTCGAAGAGAGGAAACAATAGATTGTACAGAGTCACTAGAACAAATCGCCAGCACTTTCTCCTTTTCAACACCAGTAATGTGGTCAACAAATCCCTTCATATTCGTGAATCTATGTACTTCACGCCCTCTTCCTTCAATTTTGTTACGGCATCTTGAGAACACTGCCCGCTAACTTGATCCATGCGATCCTCATACCAAACAAGATGTAAGCTTTGAAGCATTCCAACAAATCGTGGTTGAGTTGTTTTTCGTTAAATAATGTGCCCATTAAATACAACTATCGACTATTTATGCGCTTGTTTCAAAATATACCAAAAATATACACACGTGCGCATATTTAAAGAATATACAATTACATATATATACATATATGTATAAACATGTATGGACGTTCTGTTCTTCCTTTGTTTATTCTTCCGATCCCGTATATCTTGACACCGTGCCGGGGGAATGAATCGAGCCTTCTCATGTCTGATTAATAATAATCAGATACATAGAACCACTACGCCATCTCCGGGTTGTGTGTATGTCGATATTGATGGCACGCTTCGATGATTCTCTTTCCTCCTCCTTCTGTTTTCTTTTCATTGTTCTAATATATCTCTGCTGTCTCCCTTCTATCTCTCTCCTATATATACGTGTGTTATGTATGAAGTGGTTACACTCTGGATATGTGAATAAACGAATACACATCATTACTGAGAGTGGCTGTAAGCTACTACACCCCTATCCAGTTTGTCCTAATACATCAACTAGCAAGGGTCATCTTTATCGTTACAATAAGTATTTTTAAATGTTTTTACAGGTGTTCGCTGTTGAGTAGTTGAGGGTGAGGGTAAATGGAAAACGAATGGGTCAACTTATATTTTTGTCAAAAATACAAATCAATCTTAGTCGATTCATGAAATTTAAAATAAATGATGCGCTTGAATAGAATAAAAATGAATGTAGAGTTTAATTCGCCGACGTGTTTCATGTTATTTATTTGATTAATAGTAACACTCTTCAGGGCTCTGTATTACAATTTCTTGCACAAGGAAGGCTTTGAAGGTTAGAAAATGAAAGTAGAAAGAAAAAGGAAAATCACACGAAATAAAAATGGAAATATATAATTGACGTAAGGAACCAAACTTTCTTTAACCAGAGATAAATATTTCTAATTTAGTCTACCTCAGATCCACCAGTTAGACCGCCTGTAAGATGGCATTAAACTGCCTGAAACGGTCAAGAAGCGGCGTAATTGATGCCCTAAACGATGAAAAACGACCGTCGTTTTCCCCAGTTTTCCGTCAAGTCTGATTACGAGCCGTTTTTTCTCGAAATGTTAACGATATCGTTTAAGACCGTTTCCGATAACAAAAGTCGAGTGATAAAAGGACTCTATTTTTGGCCTTTATCGTCTCAATCTCGTCTTTTTTCACGGTTTAAAATAAGTGTTACATTGTTCATTCATATTTTATTCCTCAAAATAAAATCCAATAATCTAAAAAATAAAACTAAATAAATAAGGGTGTGGGTGTGGTATTAACAAAAAGTATTTGAGTGCACAACCGCACGCCCTTCTCTTGTGTTTAGTGACACATACAATCAAGTATTGAATCTAGTAAAACTGAATAAAAGCTATGCTTACTGCCGGTCATGCTGATGTTAAACAGCTGAAAGAAAGGAGTAAAAGAATCGTTTACATTATCATGTTATCTTACAATTATTGTTCTTGTAAAACTGATACCCAAATAATTCACATTTTCTCGTATACTAGCGACATCCTATCAATCTCTGCATCCGATTGGACAAGCATATTGCCAATGCACACATGACTGATACACATTGCTTGCTTGCTTTTTCTGTTTTTTTTTTAAACTTCATTTCTTCAAATTTTAAATGGCTTCTCGGGTGCCAACTGTATCTGCAAATGACGAAGAGGACCTAGTAACTGTTGAAGACATTGAACAGTTATGTAGTCGAATGTCAAAATATGAACCATGTTTTCGTATATCTCTGATTCAACATCATCTTAAACGGTTGGGTATTGCATGTAATGATGAACGTCTTGCAAAATTAATGACATTGTCATTTGAAACAATGGTAAATAAATTAATATATTGACTTTTATTTAATTTATGTAATTTATCTTTTAGATTCGTTCAATAATAACAGACTGTGCAAATGTAAATAAAGATAATCATTCATCATCAAAAACACTTACAAGTGAATTATTGAATCAAACATTACTTAACATACCAATAGATAATAATAATCAGGCAATGACAAATTCTCAACAAAGTACAAATAGTACATTAGATATAAATGATTTCTTCGATTCATAAAAAAAATCTATTTCTTTATATTAACAAGTGTGTGTGTTGTGTTTTTTGTACTAATAAACATGTAATCAAAAACTGCGCGTAACATTTCTCTGGGATGTCCCTGATTCGGTCCTAATTAGAAATATGTTCTCTCAATTGGGTCCTATCTTAATCAGGTCCTATCTCAGTTCGGTCCCGTAATTATTTCTCATTTCTATTTGAATAATGTTAATTAAAATAATTCATGATTACATATCAAAGAGAAGAGAATAATTTATATCATAAAGAATAACAAGACAATTAAAAAATCTATTAGGTGTACAGATATGCACACCTGGTTCCCGAATAATTGATTTATTATCACGACATAATGATAAAGATGTTGTACGTGGTCTTGCACGACAATGCCATTCGTTGTTCTTTGTGTATTCTCGCTTAATAGTATATTGAAAACCTTGGTAATTGAGGACAAGTGCACCCCGATTTGTAGTTGTAAATTGCATGCTAATTTTAATATTCGCTTTATATTTAATAAATGAACGTTAACAATGAGTGAGCGCTGATGCGTCATTTAGTTCAAGAAGGATTATCATAAGAATTATTTTTAACCAATCATAATTGCAAAATGAAATTTTTAGATTTAAATAGGGTGGGTACGAACATTACGATAGGCTTATTATATTTATATTTATAAATCACGAATAAACGGGCAGGGACCGAACTGAGATAGGACCCAATTGAGAGAACATATTTCCAATTACGACCGAATCCGGATACGACCCATTTCTCTATGCAGCACATCTAACAATAGAACGAATAGCTTCGTATTCAAATGGTCTAAGTCAATACATTCAGTGATAACTAGTCTGTTGCAAGTATTGTATTAATAGTGACTATTTACTTCCTAAAATTCTTCATTAGATATATCATTTTCTTACGGTTTACTCTAGGCACTTTAGATAACATTATTTTAATGATCTTTGAAATGTTAAGATAAAAAGAGTAAATTCACACTATCAGAATCAACCATTTTTAGTGCCATGTTTCTATGACTCATATAAATTTTGCATAACTGAAATCCATTGGTATTCAACGAGCTGTATAAAAATTCATAGTTGATAGTTTCTCTATAAGCGAAATACGAATTTGTTTTTTGTTTTTCTTTCCGCAATTTCTAAATGATTCATTTCCTCATTACCTTGAATCTGAGAATGAAATAGAATTGAGACCTACAAACAATTGTATGATAGACAAGAAAACGAAGAGAGGAAAAAAACGAAATGTTGGCATTTTACATACCTACACGTTACACTGTCAGTTTTGTTTTGCTTTTTGCTTTTTTTTCTTTAACACCATTGGCATCATTCTCGTGGTAGAAAAAAATATAAAGAAACTGAAATGACGATTGATATTATTCATACTAAAGTTGACTTTCAACGTCATTTAAATGGCTGTGAACGACGTTTGCATGATCTAACCAAAAATCTACAAACAATAGAAAAACTCTCTCGAAACTTATCAGTAAATAATGCACAATTATATTTTAAACAATTAGCTGAAATTGCATCAGATATAAAATTTCTTTATTCATCAATATTACAATTAGATCAATGTCCATATTCAGTAACGGCAATAAAACGTTTAAGTTCATTAAAAATATGTCTTCAAAAATCTCGTATGAAATTTGAAGCTATGCAACAAGATGCTCATAATAATTTAGGTTATGATTATAAACAAAATGACATTGAAAAAGTGAATGATGAACAACAAGAACAACTAGCCAAATTAATTAATGGCAATGACAATGAAACAACATTGGAATTAAATCGTATTGAAAAGCATACTACGTTTGTTGGTGGTCTTGAAAAAGATTTAGTTGATATACATGAAGCATTTCATGATATACATCGTATTGTATATGAACAAGGTAGAATGGTTAGTAATATTGAAGACGCATTAACAAGCACAGACGGTATGATCGAGGAAGCGACTGAAAATGTTAAAACAACTGTACAAGTTAAAAAACGTTCGAAACATATAAAATGGATTTTAATATTAATTTTAATTTGTTCTTTTCTTATCGTTTTATTAATTATTTATATTACACTTAAATTAGCTTTGCCTTTTCGTTAAAATAAAAATAATAATCTATATTTATTCTTATTTTAGATCGAAAACAACCAATGATTACCGATACAGAATTAATGCTTACTGTTAATTTTCTGAATGCTATGGCATTTACATTGATTATTGTTTATCATTATATTAATGCATCGAATAAAAAAGCGAAGTTAGATTGTAAGATTTTCTATTTTTTAAATTGAAAACAATAATTTATATGTTTATTTATTTTTTGCTATTATAGAATAACGACGATAATTATCATGGCACGAACTAAAAAGCTCTCTCAAATGTGTTTGTTTTAATAATTTCCCACTTTTTAATAAAAACAAAACCACACGTAGATATTCGAATGTGAAGAAATAGTCATATCGTTTTTATTTTCAGTGAAATCCATAAAAAGAAACAAACATCAGAAAGATAACGACAACGGCACACTTCTCAAGTTGCATCACAGTAGTACATTCATCGAGGATGAACTTCTAGGTTCGATATCTTGACTGACATAATCTTTAATTCATTAATATGACAGTCAGCGAACGCTAAGGTTTTCCGTTTTACGAGTAGGTCGCATTTCATGAGTTTCCATGTACCTCAGACAATATTTGCAAGAGTTCATAACAGATACATGACTAATAGTACCTTAGATCGTCTTCTATGCATATCAGAGCAACTTGTGACTATACTCGAGTGTCATGATTAATTATATTAGTAGTAGTCTCAATAAAAAAATGATTACTTTCATGAAATTGGTTAGCTCTCTCTCTCTCTTTCATATCAATTCATGGTAGTTTCATTTGTACAAAATAACATGAAAATGTAGAACATGGATAAATGAAAGGCAAGCAAAAAACACGTAAACTGATTCAATATGGATGAGTTCACCACTAATAATTTCAAAAAGTATAATTTCTCTCTCTTGAAGAACAATAAATCAATTTGGATTCGTCAGAGAAAATATATCAAGATGGATCGTATACTAGAACGTCAGAAGTACTTCAATAGAGCACTGACGTGAGTTAAAAATATTCACTACGGGATATAACTTTTCAAATTAGTAAGAAGATACAATTGCGAATAAGCTTTTCCTCTCCTACACAATTTATATTTAAGATAACTTTAACGTCTCTTACCATTATATATATATATAAATATTGAGTTTATAGAAAAACGTTCATGACGACAATTTTGTTACTTCACTATAATTCGAACTAAAATAAAGTAAGATTTAATTTTTGTTTCTTGCTAACTTAATCTGTATAGTTATATGTAATTACTCATTACACCTATCTTGAGACAAAATAATTTTGTTTTACTCTATTTTATTAAGATACAGTATAAGCATTTATTTGACATTTCGTACGTATGGGATGACGTTTAATCTTAAAGATGCTCGCTTGATTTTGAGACTCGCAGAAATAAAGAATCACCTGGTTCTACTGCAGCATTGAAATCAATCAATCGTTTAAAATTCTTTTCGTTTTGAGCATGCACTCCAAATATATGGCCATCTATATCATAAAACAGTTTTGAAATTTAAACTCAAAGAATTCGAATTTCATAGATAGAGAAAGTATTTTTAAAGTGTTCTATTAGTGTCCGATGGCGATATTGTGAAATAAGTAATTCAATTGTACGGTATATTTTCTTTCGTAGCCTTCAATGATGCAAAGTGTCTGCTTAAGTTTATTAATAACTGAATCAATTTCATCCACTATTTTTTCAAAGAGCGTCAGCGGAAAGCTTATTTGCCTACTGGCTATGCTCGAGACACTTTTTCATGTATCATTTATTCATCAACTTGCTGTCCTATTGAATAGTGTTAATTGTTTTACCCTATCTCTTGGCATGTTTTTCTTCAAATGCTAAACGATGACAAAACTCATTTAATTTGATTATCTTTTCTTTTTTGACCAAGAAAAAACAGCGTCCGATTAGGTGAGTATACTCCGTTTTTTTTTTAATCTAATATCTCTAAGCCAAATGTTTCCTGCAAGAAAAGGCTTGCTTTTCAGAAGTAAATGTGCATTAATACTTTGCTATCAAGACTAAAGCCAAGCATAAGTTGCTCTACTTTTCCTACGATTTCAACAGAAGAAAGTCGTTCCTTGACAATGCAGAACCGTTTTTCTAGGTGTATGTGCAATTAATTTTAAAAATATATCTTTTATTTACAGATAAACTGTATTTATATCTGCTTGAAGCATCATCATGAGTTCTAGTGAAACTCTTATTCAGCGAATTACCAACGAGATGCCTTTATATGTGTCCATAATTTCACTTCTATTTGGTTCATGTGAATCTGTATGTAATTTTATAACATTTACATCCAAAAAATAAAAAAACAAGTTCATGTGCATTTTATTTTTTATGCACATCTATTTGTGAATCAATAGCATTTTATTTTGGTCTCATATTACGTTTGGCCAATGATCGTTTAGGCAGTACATTTTTTAGTACTAATGTAGCTTATTGCAAAATTCGATTGTATTTCGGGGTTGCATTACCTGCTTTAGTTACTTATATGATTTTTTTTAACAACCATCGATCGTCTAGTCAGTTGAACGTTGCCCATCGTGTTGCACTAATAGTGATTATTGTCTCACTGTTATCATCGACTCATATGCTGGTTTTCTATGGTGTTTTATCCATCATGTACAGCACAACCAGGAACTTACGCAATTATCTACAGTGTTCATTTTATTATTTAGACAGGTATATTACCAAATGGACTTATGTTATCCTTTAGCTTTTCAACATTTCGAAATGTTGTAAAAACAAAACAGCGTGTAGGTGCGACGACAACAAGAATGACGACTGAACAACGACGTACACAAAAAGCAGAATCACAACTTATTGCTGCAAGTCTCAATTGGTTATAAACTAATTAAATTGTTTCATTTTTATAGATGATGCTTTCATGAGCAACTCTATCAAGTTATCTCGATTAAATACGTATTGCATTATATGGATATTTTTTTAAACAACAACTGTACCAAAATCAAATTATCATCGAACCGTTGATGGAATATTATTACAAATCAGTATCCTTTTATTGTATGGCAATTGTTCAAAATCATTCTACGTTTACACATACACAAGTGAATTTTTCCGTGAAATGTTTCGTCGTACAATTTATGTATATTACCGAAAAACATTCTATGTTTTACACATGACTCAAGCACCTGATTAGAGTTCAACTCGTTTCGGACTATCAACCGTAAATGGATCAATACGTACAAATGAATTGAATACAATTTCCGAGCGTCAAACAACAAAATATTAACATTTTTACTATGTAAAAATGAACTGCATTCCAATTATAATAAAATGCATTAAAAAATTAGTAGAAGATTACTATTATTAAAAAGACCACTGCTAGCACAATCCCCTGTGAGATTAAAATATGAAACAAGATACATTCGCAGTTCCTAATCATAAGAAGATTGTTATTTTTAGGCATAGTTCGTCGTCATTCTTTTATTTAATCCTTAAGAAATGAAATAAAAAAAAGAGTACATATATCAGTAACGAGTTGTTATTATTTATGACCTGTTATCGTTTATCACCAACACTTTCCATTTAAATTCTAGGTTAACTATATAGTCATCTGTTTTTTACATGATTTCAGATTCAGAATTGTCTAATCGAAGAAGGAAGAAAACTGATGTCTACGTTGATTTCTAATCAACTATTTCTATTATCAAAATAAACCGATAGTACTATGTATTTGACAGTTGAGAATAGGCCTCGGCAAGTAATATGCCTATGGGAAACCAGCCAACAAACAGTTTAAATAGAAATCTAATTTACTTGATATTAATTTGAAGAACCTGGAGTTGCCTACAACTGCCGGTAGTGTAAGTCTCTAGTCAATATAGGAAATGAATATTGCAAAAAGTAGAAACTATGATATTCACGTTACAGTGTGAGAGATATATTTCTTGTTATTGAAATGTTTATTATCCAGCATTGTACTAATAATCCCGAAGCGCAAGACCCACTGACGGATTCAAATTGCACCTCAAACAATATCAGATTATCTTCTTCGAGGTCATTTTTTTTCTAATACAATCGCGATAATTTGAATAAGTTTGACCTTATTTCTGTTAGACATACTTAAAAAATTCTCACAATCGGTTCATTTCTACACCGATGCAATTTTTATTAACTTATAGAAAGACGAGCGATACTGTAGGATAGTTTATATTCTTGTAATTCATTTGCAAGCAAAACTACGCAATGAATCATCATTTCTATATACAATTAAGTTTTATATGCATGAGGAACTATATCAATGAGTTCTCCATTGAATACAAGTAATTGTGGTAGTATTGATAATATAAAAAATGAAGTAATTTAATGTGGCAATCTCTGCCGTTGAAGGACAAACACTATTCACATTTTTAATGGGACCCGAAAATGAAGTGATAATTATTACTCAAACAAATTAAGACTATTAAGAATTTTCCACGCATTCATATTTTCTTTTTGATTGAATCATTCGGTCAAGTTTAGCTACTTTGACTGTTATAGAAATACTCAAAATTAATAAGAAGGAATCTTTTTTTAATAAATCGAAAAAACTAAAAACACCAAACAAATCATAAGAATAAAACTATCACCGGTAGAGAATAAGTTCGATGATCGCGATGTTAATATAGTATAATTAATTGCATCAGTTAAAATACTACCGAAAATAGTGTAATTAACGATTATATTAGCAGTATAATTTGTATTCGATTGTAAACTAGAGATTTGATAAGTTTGAATTACATATGTACCATTGTCTGTTGACGTTAATAATGTCCCCGTCGCACCATTGCTGATCAATTGTACAGTAGCACCATTTTGAGTATACGGCAATTGTTTTAGCCAATTAATATTTATATTTAACGAATTCGATGAACTAGCTCCATTGGAAATAATTACAAAAGGTATTTGTGAACATATCGATGAATTTGCTCTTGAACATGTTTGTTTCAGCAAGCAAGTTCTTTTCACAAGAGGGCTAGGCGCATTTACGTTCGTCGAATTCGATGACAGACATACATAATAGAAAGCATTAACGAGATCGAAATTTTGTGTAAAACTTGTTATAGTTTTATTGGTGGCTGTAAATGTGTAACTAATGGAAGTATTTACTGGACCATAATTATAATAAAATTCATAAAATTGAATAGTAATTCGTATAAGATCAGATTGGTCATAGGTTGCATTCGCGAATACCCATGTGACTGTCAAAGCTGTTGAATTAACGGCTGTAATTGATGTTAGTGTTGGTTGTGTAAGAGGTATATGTGTTTGACTATGGGATAAAATGACATATGAAACAAGAATGCAAAAGCTAGTCCACCAGTTATCCATTAATTTTTTTCCTTCAATGTCCCTACATGAAAATACATATATAGAGAGAGGGAGAGTTGTAGTAATGTTTGGCATACCTTTTCTTTCTTGCGGACTCGTCTCAAGGTTTACAATAGTTGAAGAAGGACGCGACGCGACGACATAGTCGTTATCATAAGGTGTAGCGCCCTTCTTTTTTTTTTATTTAATTAGCAATCAAATTTGAGTATGTATTTTAATAATAATGTCTATACTGCTAATTGCGTATTATTGTATGTCAGAAGGTAGTAAGAAATATTTTGTACAAGTTGAACTCACGCAATGAAGAAAAAAAAGAAGGCGAACAGGAAAGAGAAGATCCACAATAAGTTTCTTTTTTTCGTGATGTTGCAGCAGAAAGTGAATATATGCGATGGTGGTTATAATAATGTCCTTCTTGCTCTGCTTACTGTGTATATAACAACAATCGGAATGATTTTTTTCTCTTTCAAAAAAGAAACAATACCGAAGACAAGGCCATAAGAATCCTTAATAGAGATTATAGGCTCGTGTTCTTTATTTTTATAACGAATTATATATTCATACTGATTTGATATAAATCTAATAATTGAGAAAGAAAAACATTTAATTAATAACGTAGAATTGCGTTCATGTTGACAGATATTTACTAAACGAATGAATGTGAAAAACGAAAATCTTCAATACCTTTTCTGGTTTTATTATAGAAAAAAAAAACGAATATGTGAATTAAATTTACGATAACTTATTCGTATGGAGACCTTGAATGTTAGGTTATTGAATGATAATACTCCATATGCGTATTAAAACAGTAGTCGATTTCGTTTCCTTCTACGGAGAGATGATATTTTATTGCGTAATATTACCATTTGTAAATCTATATCTTATGTGCGTATTTATTTTTAGATAGCAGAAATTTTGTACTCGAGAGATATTTAATATATCACAATTTATTTTCTTTTGGATAAAAAAATAATAAAAGTGAAGTGTCATTATTTATCGTTAGTAATACAATTTCGAAAAAGAAAATAAATTAAACTGAAATTTCGCTTTTGTCAAATGTTATTCGAAGTTGTTCATATGTTATATAATCATGATGCTATATTAGTTCATGTACGTCATCTGTAAAATGAAAATTTAATGGAGAATGACATGCATTTTTTAGTAAAGCCTTGCAACATGACTCATTTTATAATTCGCCGCATATGGAAGTGGCGCATTCCTCTAGTTTTATGATGCAATTATTAAAATATCTGTTAAGTGAACAATTTACTATAGGTGATACTTGTCCTCAGAGGATCTTTATTTATCTTGTTAACCATTATTTTCGTCATTGATTTAATCGAAAAATAACTCTATGGTTCATATTGTTTTTTTTTGATACTTAAGATAATTGATTTCAAAACATCATTATATATTTTGATAAATATTGATTATTTTTGAAAGTTAGAAATTGACACTATTTCTATTTGTTAAATAACAACTGTGTCAAATTAAATCAGCGCACAGATTGTACCGGTTAGAATGCTTAGACATTGCTAATAAACGATGGCAAAGAATGAGCGAAGCAGTGGAGAACTTCAAGTTAACGCTTTTCTTTTTCCTAACAGTTTATTTGTTATTCAAAACAATAAACTACAAAATATTAAAGAGATTTTTTCTCTGGTTTAACAGAAAACGATTCATTCGTCGACTGGCGATTTGGTGTTAATGGCCTTGTTTGTTTATAGTCCGATGTTTTATAGACAAAAAACCAATTATCAGGTCGTTGGCCTAATGATTGCGGTTTTTCGCTAAAATATGGAATTAACCAAACATTATCTTTATATTGTGCTCTTAATTTGTAGGCCATTGGTGGCTAAATAGAAATAAAATTCAAGCAACACTATTCAAGAAAAATGATAATTTACTTTGAAAAAAGTTCGATTTCCTTGTCGAACAAACATGTATTGATAACGATAGAGCCATTTTTGTAATTTATCATTCACTTGCGTATCTTTGGCTGGTGTTGATTTACTAGATATTCCACGTTCTTTTCTTAGTATATCAGAGGTTAAAACGTAAGCTCGGGAATATAGTGCTGCATATAAAACAAACCAATCATCGCGAGAACTAAAAGAAAGAAGAAAAAAAACAATAATTTTCCTGAATTCAAATTAAAATAAATCATAGTTACGTGTTATCGACTAGAAAAACTTCACATATTGAACTTAAATCTCTTTTTATACCATGTGGTATACGAGATAAAGCATGTTTACGTACTATGAATAACATTTGGGCTCGAGAGACGCGTAAATTTTTAAGAAAATTAATTGTCTTAAGAAAAAACAAATAGTAGACTACTTCAAATGATGAATAATAACGTATATATTACCTTAACCATTGAACTAACAGGGTCAGTAGCAAATCGATCGATGCCATAGAGTATATTTAAGCCATCCACAATCATAGTAAATTTATTTCGCGCAAGAACTGCTTGTAGTTTTTCGAATTCAATGGGGGTTGCAGTCTTTGAATATCAGAAAAGCAAACCTCACAAGATTATTTAGATCAAAGAGATTCTACACAGGTCTAGTTTCAATGTAAAATTTCGTCACTCAATAAATTTCACATTATGTTAATCAATTCTAATTGTATTCTATTATATGTTAACTTACATTATAAACTTCCTTTTCAGTATACGCAGTTTCTTTAAGATAATCAAGTAAAAACTTGAATTCATCATTAGTCAAGTCTCCACTTGTTAAACTCAAACCAGGTAATTCCTTACAGACACCACTAAATAGAAACATTTCCATAGACGAATAAATAAATATATATTGATCAATTTACTTTGGGTATACCATTGTTATGCCATGGTTAAATGCATTTGATGTATATCTGTACGAAAACAAAAATTGTTATTCAAAATCAAAACTATAGATTATTTAACGAAAGTGTACTTAGCAAAAAACGTTTTTATTTCGTCTACCGCTGATTTCTCAATGAAATAATCTAATGTAGATAAATATTGAAATAGATGTTGAATAAATTCATAAGATTTTTCGTTTTTTTCATTTAAATTTCTAAACATGTCTCGCACCATGTCGTTTAATACACTTGATATTGTTGCAGCAGCACTATCACTGGGTGGTGGATTTTTAAAATTTTTAACTAATTTTATTGCCGTATCGATATCATCATTATGTAAGGCAGCTAGACAAACCCTAAGAATATGAAATTGTTGTACTTCAAGTTTTCATTTGACAAGAATAAAAATAATTTACTCGGTCATTGCTTGTAATTGATCATCATCGTTAGTAAATGGTAAATAAGAATAGGCCTCATGCCAAAGTCGAGTTACACATAGACCTTTGATTATTCCTAATGCAGCGGCCGAAGCTACAATCGACTGCAAAAAAAAGGAAAAATAATGACTGAATTTTGAAAAAGAAAAATCCCTCTCACCTGTTTTTTATCTCTCACACATTTTTCATAAACATCACATATTTCTTTTTCATGAAGCGAATAATCTTGACCATGTTTTTTTCCATTTAAAGTAAAAAAGTCTAGAGCCAATAAATTCATAAAAGCTGTGCACGTCGTTGATGTTAACGTTAGTAAAGCCGGATATCTGTTTTGAATAAATTCATATAATGATCGGCCACGTTCAATATGTTTCAACTGTACACAAACCAACATTGTAACCGATCCGAATATTGGCTTAGTTGTTTCGCCAACAATATTATACAATTCTTGCCATTCATCATTGGTTACCCAACGATCTTGACATATAGCAAATTGCTGTTCCAGTAAACATCGATAATGAAATGGAAATTTAACCATACGTTCCGATAGAACAAGTTCATTATTTAAATAAGTTATATTCGTTGCATCGGAACCATTTTGACTTCCAATGAGATCTTCAGTTTCATTGAGAACAGTATTGATTTTTAATAGAATTTTCTTTTTTATTGGAGTATTAAAAGTTACATGACGAATTTGAATCGTTTTTGAGACTTCACTATGATATACAGATTGAATATGATTTGATATCGATACAGTTTGTCGACATAGATTTAATAATAGACGACGTTGATAATGTAATAACATCTGAAAACAAACAAGAAAAAAACGATGCCATAACAACAAATAACATGCTAAATATCTTTTAATTATTATTTATTTGAACGCGAAACCACGTTTGAACATTCTCGGGCTCGGTTAGAGGCGATCCATCAAAATAAGGTATTAGCCATTCAGACGTATTCACATGTACACGTGTTGAATATAGACACGGAGCCTAGAAGAAGAAGAAGAAGAAAAAACAAATAATAACTTCAAAAATTTCTATTTTTGAGATCGATTATCAAACACACAAAACATTGGTCAGTGGTATGTATGATGTGAATATTTCATTTATTTATATGAGTATATGATTTACTCGCATATCTGATTCTTACTTGAAGATAGACTAAATCTGGTTTAGTAACGGGAACCAACTGATGAGTTTGTATCCATCGACTAAATATATCAACATTATTTAAACCTAATAAAGTTTTATAATCCTGTTGGTCTATAGGACTAGCCAGTAATGTTGTTGGACTATGGTATAGTGCTGATAATAATGGTAATGGACTTTTAATAGATCTTTCAGTAAATATAAAAATCAATTAAAAGAAAAAATATTCATTAAAAGAAAAAAAATGATTACTCATAAGGTACACGAATAACCGACACGAGTTCAGCAGGCATTAGAAGTGATTCAACAAAATCAGCAAGATCGACTTTACCAATGACTAGACATCGTTTCCCTTTTTCATCAACTATTTGATAGAGAACACGTTTGATCTGCATGGAAGAAAAAAAAGAATTTTGCATTGTTTTTATTTCATTCCATTGAACAATATTTTTACATACATACAATGGATGGCGTATGCGCCAGTCAATTTCAAGTGCTGGATAATGAAGACAATCGAAAACAACATCAAACGGTTCAGAGTCAGAGAGATGTTTTAATAATTTTGATGGACCTTCGGCTACCTATACAAATTTTAATCAGAGATTCCATAAACTAAAAGAATAATACTTTAGGACAATGAGTTTCAAGTAATGCTTGGAAATTATTTCGAACATGAGAATGTATATTTTCGCATTCTTTTTCCGTTGGTTCAATCGATGGTAATGTGGATTTATTATCCAGAGATTTACCACTAGAATTAAGAAAGTTCATGTACGGAAAAATGACTATGACAACATACTTCGGACAGAAACAGATATATTCACAATTGTACTTAGTTGGATCAAGCCTAAATTAAACAAGAATGTCACTAGTCTCGTTTTAAGACAATTTCATTAGTAGATTGTTTAAATAGAAACCATTAAATTTTTTCTTTAGAATTTGATATCGAAAATTTCTATAGGAACACGTACTCTTTTAATTTTTTTTCTAATGATTTTACAAATGACACCGGTGGTATATAACCATTGCTTGCTGTTTTCTCCAATAGTTTGGTTAGCGTTTCAATTTGCTTATCTTTTTCTCCCGTTAGATAATTCGTAAATGTTTCATAAGCTTGTGATGTTTTTGCAATTAAATAATAATCACTTTCCTTAATTCTTGACGGTGCTACAGGACGTTGTATTTGTTGATCGATGGTCAGTTTTTGTTTAACATCACCTGTTGCCGTTGTACGTATTCGTTGACGCTCTTCATGTAAACGAATCGATTCCGTTTGTGAAATATTATCCAGAAGTGAGAAGAAAAATTCGTAATCATGAAATTTCGCTGCTGCAGTTAAAACAAAACCTAATGCTTGCTGCAAGCCATGAAGATCATTATCGAGTGTTGGTAAATATATCAGTGCTTCTTTCCATTGCGTTGTCAATGTTAAACCGGCTATTATTGGTAATGCAAGCATTGCATCAGGAACGACTTTACACGAAAGAAATTCTTGATAAGCATTTAATAAAAGACTTTCTTCTAAACAATGTTCATTTAATTCAGGGCGAATATCAATTTCTCGTGCTAATAATAATAACATGGATAAACCAGTTGGTGTTAATGGAACATTTTCATATTTTAAATAATTAATATACGATAGACCCATTAGAAAACGCTGAAAATTAATACATTCATGTATGAAGATTCCATCGAATAATCTTGATACGCCAATATCTTTTTTAACCAGATAATCACGAAATGTTTGCCATTGTTCAACATCAATATAACCATCATGCATATAACGGAGAATTTGTCTTATTGTTGCACGTATGACTAATGACCGATGAAAATTCTCTTGTTTAATATCAACACGATTAACAGCTTCCATCCAATCATAGTAGGTTGTTTGTAAACGTTTATAGGCATACATAGATCTTTTTATTGGTATTTTACTTATACGAATTTCCGATGTTGCGATTGTCCATCGTTTTGAATAGGAAAATGTTTTGTTCAATATGGACAATAAACGAAATCGATTAGAAATCATTATCTTTAATAGAAGATCTTTTTTTGTTTTATTTATTTTTCTTTGAGAAATAAACATAGGTCATTCATGCACTTTTTTTCTTTATTTAAGACAACAAATAAACAAACAAAATGAACATTTATTTCAATACATAATGAGTGAAAAAATGAAAACGAAGTATCTATTGCATCATTGGTGGTGGAGGAGGTGGTGGCCGATTAGGTGGTGGAGGTGGAGGTGGTCGCTAAAAACGAAAATAATTAGAATTGATTTATCCAATGAAAAAAAGAACTTACGAATGGAGCTCCTCCAGTTGGCGTTGGAGCTAATGGTGGACGTGGCATTTGCTAAAAATAAATATTCAAATTGTAGATTACTACTTATGAAAGATCAAGAGAAAATGGTTTAGTCAAAGTTCGAACTGATTATTATTTCTTAGTGATTTCTATTATACGTAGGACATCGAAATGCATTTTCGCTATGAAATCAACGTACCATTGCAAATGGTGGTGGTGGAGGTGGAAGACCTGGCAAACCAGGTGGAAGCGGTAGACCACCGAGTGCACCATATGGTAACCATGATGCAATTGGAAATGGATTGACTGGTGGTGGTACTGGTGGAGCTGGTGCAAATTGTGGTTGATCAGCAAATCTAAAATATCCAAATCATATTCTGTTAAGTAGATGAAAGAAATTCGAGATACGAACAATGTATGTGGTTTATCTGAATGTGATAATGGATTTTGTGCAGCGAGTAATCGTTCAGCTGCTGAACCATGTCGTTCACCTTTCGAATCTTTTTTAAATGCATATGAAACTGTGATAGGTCGATTACATAAATATTGACCATTCATTGCTTCTAATGCTGTATCAGATCCATCGAAATTAGCAAAATTAATAAAGGCATATCCTTTTGAATTGCCCGAATCTGGATCACGCATAATCTGTAAGAGAACAAGCGCTCATTTGTTATTAATGCAGCCGGAACTTCAATAAAAAAAAAAAGAAAAACTTACTTTAGGTGTTTGCAAAATAACACCAAATGCAGAAAATGTATCGTATAATAATTTCTCGTCAACTTCTGGATCAAGATTACCAATAAATAAGTTTGCACCAACATCCAAATTTTTTTGATGAGCTGATGCCTAAAATTAAAATAATCAATAGATAAATTTGAATGTCAATAGTTTGTACTTACTTTATTGACACGTATTGGTTTGCCATAGAGTTTAATCATATTCATTATTTTTATTGCATAATCTGCATCTTCTTCTGTAAGAAATTCAACAAAACCATAACCCTGATGATTTATAGTTACACGATCTTTGGGTTGATGCACATTAACTGTTGGAAAGATTCGGAAAATAATTACTTTTTAGCTTAGAAATTCATTGATTTGAACTCACCAACAGGACCGGCTTGAACAAATAATTCCCATAGAATAGATTCATTTACCCGTTCATCAAGACCACCAACATAGATAGTTGCATCTTGATTTCTTTCAGCGACTGGTACAGCAGACATTGTCAAAAAGAGTAATATTTAACAATGTTCCGTTTATGTTAAATATATAATCTGAAACCAGATAAGCGTATAGATTTCACTAAAAGAACAATGCATAAATCTTAACGTAGAAACAAAACTTGACAAATTTCTTTTTTTTACATTGACCAATTGTAGTGGTTTTTGATTGGACGAAATGAAAAGTACCAATGGTCAACGTCTATTGTATAGAGGGCAGAAGAGTTCGACTTTTCTTTTAGTAATTTGTGGCAAGCATCCTACGCAACATAGTGATCGTCATATATCTTATGAAATTAAAATCAATAGAACTAAATATTAAATGTTTTCTTTCAAGTACTCTATCATCGCTGACTGTTTCAATTACAATCAATAAATATTATTCAAACAGTCCCCTAGATCAATTCTTGAATATTTTATGAAAAAAAAAGCACGAAAGTCAAATAGGTGCATGTTTGTTCATACTATAGTAACAAGAGATCTCAAATGTTTTAATACTTGAATATCGTTTAGTTTTATGCTTAAATGGTATGTAAAATTGCCCCCGAATAAAAAAAAATGAATGGTTCATATCGATTCACATCGTAGTCAAATATGCTTGAGTTGTTCTCTTGAATGAAGAATGTCATCATATAACATATACACGAAATACAGCCGTGTTCTCAAACAAAAATAAATCTTCGCATGATTGTCTATAGTCTAAGAGATGTATTTTACATATTTAAAATAATCAATAGATGTCGTCCAGCTCTACAACTTATTTCGTTCAGTGTTCTTCTATATAACGAAAAGTGTATGTTGTCGAAAAAATAAACTATGGAATGATCGTATAGTTCAGTTTACTTACTTGAGATTGAATTTCTCTCTCTTTCTTTTTCGTTCTGTTCTTACTTGCTTGAGGCATTGTTTATTTTTGTATCGAATAGGTTACAAAGAAGAGGCTACCTTACACCTCACTTATATATACACCACCTTTGCAAGTTTCTTTTTTTTGACATTAGCCTTTTTTTTCGTTATAAAAACCAAACATGCATCTTGATACCAACATGGGGTAAACGAATTACGATTAATTTGAGAACATTTATTAATTCTTTTCTTTTGCTTTTCATTAGTGAACAATCACCACTATTCACATGTAAAGCACATATATTTCAAGTTGATCCTGATACACGTAAAACTTGGCTACCATTATCGAATGGTGCTGGTATGTAAAGAGTGCAAAGCAATAAAAAAAAAGAATTCATCTAGTCTAGTGAAAAACATCAATTTTAGTTAATGTGCAAATATTTCATGATTCAGTAAAAAATGTTTATCGTATTGTATCTATCGATGGATCAAAAGTACTGATTAATACAATAATTACAGCTCGAATGAGTTTTACGAAAACATCACAGAAATTTTGTCAGTGGGTTGATTCACGAGCAAATCATGTTTATGGTTTAGGTTTTGCTAATGAGCCTGAACTAACACGAGTAAATTATTCCTGTTTGTTTTTTGTCTTCTCGATTTAACGTTTCTGTTTTGTTTCATTCAATATTCAGTTTATGGATAAATTTATTGAGGTTAAAGATGCAACACGTCACGCACTAAAACAAGGTGAAGCTCGAAGTAGTAGTGTTGATGCTCGGCAAACACCTCGAGTATGTCTTAATCTTTTTTTTCTAATCTATCAAACAAAATTTGATCGTTTTTTCAAGTCCGAAGGGGATTGGTCAGTCCAATCTACCGGATTAGATTCATCGGCGCAAAATCAGCTTAAACAAGAAAATGCTCATCTGAAAATTGCCCTAGCTCAAAGGTAGATTTTAGAAAAAATTAAAAAATATCAAACATTCTCGTTTATCAATTAATACTTATTCAGTTCAAACAATGCGAAGAAATGGCAAGAAGAATTAGAAATATTACGTAATAATAATGCAAAGTTAACTACAGCATTACAAGAAAGTCATGCCAATGTTGAAGAATGGAAAAGACAATTGCAATTCTATCGAGATGAATGTACTCGTCTTCGACAAATGGTAAAATAACAAAATTCCTATTTTTAAAGTCAATCAGCGGTATACATTTTTGGGTGACACAAAAAAGCGTTCCATTACGATATCTCACATATTTGACGAAACATATAAAGTCACGTTTTTTGTTCGGTGAAGAGTTATTCTATATTGAATTTAAATTATGGTACTACTCTATTCGATCTCTAGAGTAGTCAATAAGTTACCTGTAAAAACTTTTCTATTGAATAGTTTTTATGAAACTATGAGTGTCGACAAAAAAAGATCTAGAAATCCTTTTTTTGGTACTTAAGAAAAACAAATCTTTATAAAAAATTCTCTGTAAATTTCAAGGTTTCCACTCATCATCCATCCAGTGATGGACAAAACAATGAAACACAAGAATTGAAATGTCTACTTGATAATGCTGATCAACGTAATCAGGAACAAGAACAAGTATGTAGTCTTCTACTCTTTTTTTTGCTCTATGCTAAATGATTTCGCTTTTAGAAAATTATGCAGCTTGAAAATCAAATTCAACGTTATACTACTCAAATAAATACTTTGGAAGATCGTTTAGCTGTATGATATAATTAGTCCATGCTTCTAATCTACATACTTCTATTTAATTCTATATATTTTAGTCAGCTGAAGAAGATAATCAAGGACTTCGTAATGAAGTCACTAAAATTCAAAGACGTTCACCACAAAATGTCCAGATCGGTGGTGGTGGGACATTACCACGGTCATCCAATCGAAACGCACAACAATTAGTTCGTCTTCGTGATTTATTTGAGTCGAAAACGAATGATTTTAATCAAACACTTCTTGCTAAATCGCAAGATTTACAAAGAATATGTTCACAAATAACTCAAACAATAACAGAATTTTAATATTTAGTTATTTTTCGTCCAAAATTCTATTTCATCAATGTGGTCAGATGATATGTTTTGCAACGACCAGCATAAGAGAATTGTTTTTCTTCTTTTCTTTTTTTGACGACTTGTCACCTTTACTGATTTACTTAGTTTCTTTGGTTTTTTTTGTGATAAAGAGTGCTCAAACTTTGTTTTGATATTTATTTCTTTGCATTCCAAATATTTGGAGAGAATGAATACGTATATAATATGTATATAAATAATTTTATTTCTATTCTTTGTGAAAACATCAGTAATTCATGATTATATTTATATTCTCAGTAGTTTGTTTTATTTAATAATAATAATTATTATTATCTTCTATCCATTCTTTTTTGTCTATTTTACTGTTTTTAAACAGTTAAAATTACATGAACAATTAATCAATAATTTTAAATCATCAACAGATGACAATAAAATAGATGTATCTACGATATATCGATTCGGTAGTGAGTAGTAAATACAAGCTGTCACAAATGGAACAACTGAATTTCTGAATAGTCTTAAACCGTCATGGATGCTTCCTCATAAATTCAACTTGAAGGTTGGTTCAATAGTGATGTTTCTTCAAAATTTAGATACCAATGGAGGACTCTGCAACGGTGTCGGACTCATTGAGAGACTTTTACATAATCACACAGTCGATTCCGAAGTTGTGACAGGATTTAAAAAAGAGAACAGAACTCTTATACAAAGGATTAGTTTGGTGCCTTCCCATGTAACAAAAACCGCATGAAAATCGGCGGTTTTACCGGTCAGCTTAATGGCTCCCGTTACCGCAAAAAATGATCCGGTATTCGCAACATGGGTTCCGATACACTTTTGCCTTTAAACTACCCAGACGCCCGTTCCCAATTCGCCTCTCATTTGCCATGACTATCGATAAATCATAAGGACAAACGTTCAATCGATTAGGACTACTACTGCCACAACCGGTTTTTAGTCATGGTCAACTCTACGTTGATTTTTCACGAGTCCGCTCACTGGTATCTATCCAAGTGGACTGCAGATTATTGAAGACAAGAAAAATAGTAAATCAAAGAAAACCCAAAATATTCTTTTACATGAAGTTTTATAAATTTTGTAAATAGATTTTGTATATCCTGCAGGTAAGCTATGCTATATTCCAGATAAATTTTCTAAATATTCTAGATAACTTTTCTCTGTACTCTAGATACTTTTGTAGATATTGTAGATATATTTTGAAAAAATAAAAATAGTAAAACTAAGCAGTCTTTCTACGAGCCTAATCATAGACTTTCAATAGCAATTAAGCACAATTAATAACTAACTATACATCCTTACATAACAATTCAACTGGAAGTAGCTGTGCATTTTGCACGGGAAGTCACTAGTATTTTATATAATTCGAACTGAGGCTTTCATATAAGTGAGGCGAAAAGGCAAAAGATAACTTTTATCGTAATTATGTCGAAACGCGTCGTGGTAGCTTTCTGCACACCCACACACCCACACACCCTCTAGTGGACATTGTTGTTCCCATAATTTATGCCTGTGCATAAATTGTCGAAACTCAGTCCAACTATTAATACATCTTGAGTTTGACAACTGAATATTTCTGAGCCTTTTTCTTCGCGTGAGAATCGAGTCGTCTTTTGGTTAATAAAAAAACTTTTACCCGTGGTTTTGTTGAGCATACAATGGATTGGTGCAGAAGTTGGAAGAAGTCTATTAAGAAGGGCAAACGAGTACGATATCATTATTTATCTTTCTTTTTTCGTAAGAATGAAGATAACGGGGCACCTCTGAGCTTCGCTGTATATAAAGAATAAAAAGCAATAACACAAAGCGTTTGGATTTCTCTCGCACACTGTCTAAAGCAAAAACCGAACATCAGTAAGTTTCATGTGCGACCAGCGCCACAAGCGTGATACGAATCGCTTTTCCACTAATCAAAATGCATGCAATCCTACTATTACTACCGTTCACTCACGCTGGGTTAATGCCTATAAAAATACTGCCCACATTAGAGACAACTACAATCGGGAAGAACTTTGTGACCTTGGACCCAAATCCTCGACATTTGTAGAAATGCTTCAGTCTTTGTTTGGTGTCGATATTGAGAAGAAAAAAGTCACAAACTGGTCGATAAGCCTCGAAGCCATCATCGACGAGTCTATTCGAACTGATCATAAGCAATATATGAACGCTTGCACTCTCATATATCAATACAGAGAGACGAAAAGAATTGAACATCTGCTTCGTCTCTACACTCTCGATACAAATTTTTATACAGTTATGTCACGAGAAAAAGAGAAAACAAAGTTTTTATTGGAAGCTCTCAAGTACGATTTGCCAACAATTTCAAGTCGTTTCTTCGAAGGACATTGCTATCGTGGACTGACTATGGAACGTCCGGATTTAGAACCGTATAGATGGGCACTAGAAAACAAAAAATGTCATCTTGAAACGAACACATTTTGGTCGACATCAATCGATCAAGACGTAGCAACAGCCTTTTCGGGCGAAGGTCAACAGTTGGAACAAAAGCTAGTGAGAGTTATCATGGTGTTTCATTTCATTTATCGATGTTCAACAGCCATTGCTCTTTTTCGACAACCGTGCCTGTCATATTTTGAAGATGAAAGAGAAGTTCTCATCCTTCCTGGTACAGTATTTCGAGTGACAAGAATTAACAAAGATGATGAAGCAACGTTGTACAAAGTATACCTCGAACAGTTGGATGTGAGAGAGGAGCTGAGGGACCTACATGATGATATAATACAAAGCAGAGTAGATAATTTCGTTGAGAATTTTACTGATAGTTGATGAACGAATTTTTTTCTCTTGTTATCTCTGTACAAAATGTTCACATTGTAGATAACTGATAATCGCTAGAAAGCATATGGCTTCGTTTATCATTGTTTTATCGCGACGTGTGTGTTTTGCACTTCGATGAATTTTATCCTGGCGACTGGATGTCATCGAAGTTACAATCACCCTTCCCATAGTTACTTGAGTTCACCGTTACACGATCGTACTATACTGTAGCAAACTTCGATTATTTCCGCAATAAAATTCTAACAAGAGAACCATTTCGAGGTTATGTGTTTGTGTTTAGCCACCTCCCTGCGTGTGTCATCGCAGCCCATTAAAATCAACTTTTGGAAAAATATGCAGCTATGAGCCTGTGTATTTTGGTAGTCAGCCTTAGAATTTGAACAGATTATGTTTCCACTTCTTTTGCTCATATCTGCACAATCGACACGTAAATCCGCACATAAATAAATCAAACATCTTCTGTGGTATATTCAACACCTCCTCTGAGAAATGGGTGTGCAGGGACGCGAATATGATTACCAGTGTGAATTACAAGAACAATACCCACAGTCATACATCTCACCCAACCCACACCCACACTCTTCTCCACTATAGTACCGATAAACCTTTAAAATTTTACGTCTCTTGAGTGGATCCGAACTGAGCTCGGTTTTAAAGGAGGTGGAGAAGAGGATGCCTTAAATAAAACAAAGATGAACGAACTTTTGGTACAGTATATAAATCAATTCAATCTCTATACTAGTAGCAACAGCAGATACATTGTGTTTCACATTTTGAATCCAGACAGGAATTGCACTAACACCTTTTCTAATAGAGATCATTCGAAAAAGTATAGCATAGTCTAAACCATCAGACGAGACCCTTCAGCAAGATCGAAATCTGGATCATGGTTTGCTTGACACACCCACACCCATCTATTAAAAGTTTTGACGCTTGCCTTAAAAGCGGATATGAGTGGTGAACAACGTATTCAAGAGGCTGGATTATGAGAAGAACAAGACAAGACTCGAATTATCTTACATTCAACATATGAAAAGCGACTTCAAGCTATAAAATGGGATATCCACCAGGCATGGTCAAGCATATTCGGCAACACAACAGTCATGGATTTGAGACTCATTATTCGAAATCAAGACCGACGAAATCTAAAATTCGAATTATCAGAAATATGGTCTATACCATCAAGAATAAAAAATAAAAACAATACTAGTAACAACTGAAATATTTTCCTTTTCTTCTTCTGACAAAGTGAGCATGCTGATCATTGAATAAATAGACGCCCTTCCTACAATTCAAGCAACAACTACTAGATGTAATGGGCTGCAATCTCACATTGGATCGACAATATTTTGTCTCAAAATTAATTAATCAATACAAAAAAGAATACATGAATATATAGAGAACACAAAGCAAATCGAAATTACAAGAAGAAAAGAAGAAAAAAATCTTTCAGTAAACACCATAACAAAAAAATGAGTGATATGGACAGTTTTTTGTGCTTTTTCATGTTATTGGATTGGCACATAAGTTCTGCACGTTATTTGCTCACCAAAAAAGGGCGGGAGCACACAAGGTCGAGCTGTTAGTTCACAGTAGATTCGACGCATAATTTTACGGCAACTCTTTTGGTCACAAACATAGCCTCTCTGACCGATCCTGGGTTATTTATAATCAAAATACTGAAGATAGACCATGGCATTACGACATATCATCATTGTTATTTAAGTAGATGATTCGTACCGATTGGAATAAAAAAATCCATTGACTATCCAGATATTTATATCAGTCTTATACTCTGTTATAAAAAAAAACTAAAGACAAACGATAGTACAGCAGATCATAATAGAAAGAAAATTCAACAATCAAGATAACATAGGTTTCGTCAAAGAGATTTAGAAACGCTTTCCATTAACGTACGCCTCATGGAAAACAAATCTCGACCCGAGACTCTCGAAAATCTAATTGTCATTCCAATTTCTTCCGCATCGAACCAATCACATAATTACAACCTGCTTGTTTCATAATATAATTTTTCGGTAGTTGACTCAAAATCACAAAGTTTTATTCTTATTTCCTAATTTGCAATCCATATACAGCTCAAATGTCTTATCACGTAATTACAAGTAACTCTGATTATATTTATACTCTATATTGTTAAATTTGTAGTCACATCTTTATTTAATTCGATTTCGTTGTATTTTTTTAAAAATAACGTTTTTAAGATGCGAAGATGAGATTATTACAAAAATTAAGTATGATCATCGAGTACTCTATCAATATATCGACTTTAATTGAGACTTTTTTAAGTTAAAGTGCCACCCCTAGTTACACTACTTTTCGAGTGTCTTATTATTTATTAAAATAAATAATTCTAGTTATAACTAACGAAATAATTCCACCCATCATTTTTCGTTACATGTTAGAATTAAAATAGATTGAATCGGCTACTCACCATATTGCAAGTGTTTTATATATGTTGAATTCATCTTGGATAGTGAAATATTTCAATGGATTCTTTTTGTGATTTTCAAATGCAAATTATGTCTTGTTTTTTTGCCATTTCATGATCGGTATCCGACCTCCGCGTGGGATGGGATGGGACGTCCGAAATGTCAAATATTTTTTTTAGATGTCAAATTTGTTTGATTATCATCGATCGACTGAGACTACGGATTTTAATATTGCTTTTTGTCACATTTTATGATTTTATCAAAATAAAATGAGAGTTTGAACTTCTGTTCTTTTTGCATATTACAATAATGACATCATCCTGGTTATAAATACAGCATTTTACAAAATAAAGAAAAGAAGTAGTAAATGAGAAACGAAAATATTTGATTGAATACAAAAGTAACTGGAAATAAATAAATAAAAGAATACAGTTTCAATGTTGAATCGTTGAACAAGTTATGTAAGGGAAGTTAGTGACAGATTTGAGGTTTTTTTTAAAAATTATTCGTCCCTTCAACCGTACTAATTGTTGAATGTAGCGTGCCAGATAGTACTCGATGAGCTCTATCTAATGCTATGTTCAAAAATTACGATAAGATGAAGCCAAAAGAGAGACCTATCAAAATATGATTTATCACCATGGGACAAAATGTACACTTTTCATATTTCCTGAATATATTCGATACCACGCCGTGCCATTTTTCAAAACTTATATCATCCGATGCAGCTTGATGAGTTCTATCGATTGACGTATTGCTTGATATGATTAGCAATACTTTGACACCAACAGCACTAATACATCAAATATATAACATTAACAGTAGTTATTTGTTTGACTGATTCACTTGAGTAAGTGTGCCAATGACTATTCATACCTGGCTCGGTGCAGCTCAGCTAGATCTAATTTTTGTTACTCATTTTACATAGAGTGTACGAAATCAAACAAATATATCCAATAAGACATAGCGCATCATCGCTTCCTATTCTGAGTTTGATGAACATACAAAAGAGCTTGTTAACGCAGCCCATTTGGGGCTAAAATATGGAACTCACATATACTTTTTCGCCTAATTTAGTTATACATAATGCGTGGTGCGAAATTTGCTTCAAGAAAATCGATCGCTAGAAAACAAATGTCTTATTTAGTTTTTCGCATGTTAGCTAATATCTATAATGCAATGCGGCGTCTGTAAGGGGGTGTAGGTGGGTGGGGGTAGCCATAAAAATCTCGCTTTTAAAGTTACACTCACCATTTTCTTCGAAAATATGTGTGAGTTCCACAAAATATTTTTAAATGTCACTTTGATTATGATATCTTTATATTACGTTGATTACAATCAATGGTGGTAAATATTACAACAATTCATAGAACTAAATGACAGATACCAAAAGATAGATACAACATCATTGCCACATGGAATCAATTAAATCTTGCAAAAAGAAATCTTCAGCAATGTTAAGAAACTCATATTACTATCATATCATTTTTACAGTGCTGTTTAGTACATTAAATGATCCATAAATCGATACAACTGGTTGAAAATAGCCATCAACGACATATGTTATGAGTGGCACACTTGTTCCGTGAATTTTCTGGAACAAGTTCAATAGAACTATAATATGATGGATATTTGAATTCCTTTCGTGCGTTTAATATTAGTAATCGTATGAATTGATACATAAATCGATAGAAATAATTGAGATGTATAAAAATAAAAGCATATAATCATTGGCACATCTATTAAATGGAGTCACCTAGAACAACTTGGATGATAAGTCTGACAACACTGACTGAATTAAACTTTTGCATCGTATTTTGTTCATTATGATAGTAAATGATACATTAATCGATAGAGTTGATTGAGAAGTATCAATTGATGTAGATATCATCAATGGTGCACATAGTCAATCGTAACGTAAAAACCAATTTCATTAAAACTGTAATAATACTCTTGATCGAGGAGGTATCGTTCGTTTTTTATTAGTAAAAAGGCATTACGTGATACATCAATAGTTAGATCTAGTTGAGCTGCATCGAGCCAGGTATGAATAGTCATTCACTTACTGAAGTGAATCAATCAAACAAATAATTACTGTTAATGTTATATATTTGATGTATTAGTGCTGTTGGTGTCAGAGTATTGCTAATCATATCAAGCAATACGCCAATCGATAGAACTCATCAAGCTGCATCGAATGATATAAGTTTTGAAAAATGGCACGGCGTGGTATCGAATATATTCAGGAAATATGAAAAGTGTACATTTTGTCCCATGGTGATAAATCATATTTTGATAGGTCTCTCTTTTGCCTTCATTCTATCGTAATTTTTGAACATAGCATTAGATAAAGCTCATCGAGTTCTATCTGGCACGCTACATTCAACAATTGGCACGATTGAACGGACGAATAGTTTCAACAAAAACTCGAATCTGTCGCTAACTTTCCTTACATGTACAAGTTTCATTTTCCCATGGAACGAAGTATTCAAGACATTTCACCACATATAAGCCACAGTAACTAAATCAATTGTTATT